TTGGGTCTGATGAGATTAATCATAGCGCCATTACAGAATGTAAACTTGCAAGGATTGATTGCTCTTTGCTTGCGGAGGGGACCGATGACGCTAAAGCGAGATGATCTCTGAACAGCAGATTCGGTGAGCTCCAAAGGCCATCCTAAAAATGACGAATTATTCTCCAGCGATTACTCATCGTCCATCCTTGCTGCAGACAGGCGATGGAGCTTGATCTTGTCAATCCACCATCTCCAACAACGAAGCCGCCACAAATCCGCCGTTTTTCCATCGGAACACTTCTTCTCCTGAACTCCTTCGTATTTTGTTCCACTTCGCAAGTAGAATCTCGTTCTTATTCACAAGGGATACTTTAGGAAGCAGAGATTCCCGCGCCACTCGGGACCCCCCTCCCCCCACCTCAGGGCTGGCAAGCTTTCTCCTCTTCCATGGCTTGGCGTTGTGGACTGAGGCGTCAAAAGTGATTCGCAGCCTGGCGCCTCCTGCCCAGACTGTCGGGTTTTGCAGGAAAGTAGTTTACTTCGGGCCCTGCTGTGGGAGGGCAGGAGCGAGCGCTAGTGTGCTTCGTACTGACCTTTGACAGGCCTCTCACACTAATCTACTTTGCTTGTGATTCCAGCAGCATCTGAGATTACCCGTCTGGGGTAAAGAGGGCAGATGCATCGTTTGCGGGAGATCTCTGGAGAGTTATTCTCATTTCTCATAAACTTGAAGTTAATCTGTGCTTTCCTCTGATGAGTCCTATCGCGGGCGTCCTCAAAAGGCATTGAGCACCAAAGCTTCTGCGGAGTAAACAAAGTAAACTAGACTAAACTCCGCGAGGCCATGAGCCCATGTACCAAGACGCCTAATTAGTGTGGGGGCGATACATCACACCACTCATCGAGCTCAGTTTGCTGGTGGCGTTCAACCTCGGCTCAACGAAGTAATCTCCACGTCCAAAGTGTGTAGATTACTTCGCAGGGTACGAAGGACGCCAGGGGTGTGAATCCAGCCTTGTACTGGTACCTGTCCACAACCCTAAATACCCCAACTTCTAAGGGTCTGGTCACCCTCAACCTCGTCAAAATGGCGGGGTCGTCTCGGGTTGCTTCCAATGAAGCTGTCAGCTCCAGCCACAGCTGAGCTGACTGCGAAGATGACCCCGTAAATGCGGTGAGAAGAACGGGGATTTTGAAAGAAATATTTGGAATCGAGTATGAAAAAATAGGGTGTTGTTCGTGTCCTTGCATTTGCTCGTATTATGGTGAGGCCTGTACGAAGTGAAGCTTGAGCCTTGAATGTTGGACCAGTTTGGTGGTAGGACACGGAAGGTCGGTCGGTCAAAACAGCAGCTTCCCCGCTCTGTGAGGGAACCCTGGCATCTTCCCCACGCTCCATCCTGCTGCATGCCTATTCGGGCAGTTTGCTGGCAACACAACATGTGAAATCCCATCATAGGATAAGAGTCGTCACCTCTTTCGTGTTCTGCCTTGTTTATTTTGGATGACGCCTTGCTTATTGCGCGGCATGACATGGGAGACCAGAATAAGCCAGGTAAGCGAGAGGTAGGAAATGCCAAGAACATTACGCCCCGCCTGACATCGAAGATGAAGCTGTGGGTGATGGGTGTAATATGGTGGGCATATATCTGACCACTCCTGTGCAGCAGATGATCGGTGTCCGCAAAGACATGTGCGTGGGCCACGGCCTGGAAGCGCGGACGGGATGTGATGCAAAACGTCCTCGCATCCGCCGGAATCCTTTCGGCTTTCGGATGTTGCAAGAAGCACTCGTTCCGTCGTGTATGCCTCCGTCTTCGAGGATAGAGGGAGTACACTACTCGTGCTATTTAGATATTTATCAGGCTGCTGGTAAACTAGACCAGAAGATAGATGGTTGGCGCTGTCAATTGACCACCCTCCCCACCTAAATGCGCTGCGTGGGGGTGCCCTAACTCTGAAGCGAGATAATCTAGTAGAGTTGAGGCCTCGGGGTTAGGCGATGTCGCAAACCAGCACGTAGCAGCTCTTGGCACAAGAGTTACCGCTGGTGTCTTTTGAGCGGTTATTCATTGCGTGTAGCTTCCCAGCTGCCCTTCGCAAGCAACTGTGAATTGATACATAATGGATGGATACCTACCTAGATGCCGGAGGAGAGACACCTGGACCGTCTATAAAGGACACATTGAATGCTGAGGGATCAAACATCAAATCTAAACCATTTTGATTCTATCAGACGAGCATTACGGTCTGGTAACTATCCAAAGAGACCCAACCCCAAGGAGATTCCACAGAATCACATAGACGCCTTCCTTTTTTGATGAGAAGAAAAATTAATAGGTGCCCCCAGTTAGCCTCGCTTCACTTCGTCTTTGTAGACTCGATCTTATCGCCGGGCTTCCTGGCACTCAGTCCCTGATACCCCCATTTCCCACCACCAGCGAATCCGCAGACTCCAGCGATGGTGTTAATAAAGTGCTTCTCGAGACGGAATAATCTGACAAAGTAGTATGGAATGATAGCCATAATATAGAACAGCCTTAACATGGGCCGAATGTTTTCCGTGTAGTCCTTCCGCTCGACGTTTCCAAAACCGGCATTTTCGAGGAGGCTCTTATAAAGTCCCCTCGTCGACGCCTGGTTCGTAGGCATCGCGGCGATGGTATTGATTGTGGCCATATCCTGCGCCAGGGATCCATTCTCATCTATGTCGGGGAGGCGATCATATTCAAACATGACGAGATGACCCCCCGGTTTGAGAATACGATAAAAGTTGGCGAGCACAGCGGCGGGATCCGTAGAGTGAACAAAGGTTTCCATGGTATACACGCCATCATACGACGCATCGGGTATAGTTTCGAGGTGGTGATAGTCCATGCGTTTTACCTCGACCTGGCCGGTCGGTAGACCGGACCGTTGTACGTTTCGTTTCGCTTTCTCGACGTGGTGCTCGACGACATCGATGCCCGTCACCTGGAGGCCCTTCTTGGCCATGAATAGCGCTACGTGGCCGACGCCGCACCCCGCATCCAACACCCGGGCACCCTTTGGTAGGTCGAGACGCGAGAACATTTCCTCTTCCATGCGCCGTAGCGATCTGCTGACGGGGAAGGGCCAATATGTGTCTTTTTCATAGTATCCAAAATGGCGGGTACCGCCTAGCACTAAACGGTAACCGATGCGCGATTCGAGGGAGTAATAGTATGATTGGAGGTCAGGGTTGTCGTTGATGATGGGGGCTTCATCGCTTGCTTCGTTCTTGCGGGCCATGATGTGGAGGGTTCGGAGGGGACGGGAAAGAGGGAAGTCTAAATTTAGCACGAAATTAGGTTGTTAACTTCTATTAAAACGCCGAGTCGAACGAGTCGAGAAGCATTGATGATATCAGAGGTCGGCAGCCGGAGCCACCGTAGTTGCAAAAAGAGCTGAGACAAGACGCGGGACGAACCGCATGCGAATCCTGTCGCGACGATTACGCGGGGGCGGGCGCCTACAGTAGACTTACATGGGTAGCTTGGTGGACAAGGATTTGATCAATGATAGGTGCAGCTAGCAGCGGCAACGCTATGCAACGGGATTAAGCAAAGGCTAAGAGCCTAGCTCAACTGACTTAGGCGAATGGTGGACGATACAGGCGGAGACGGTAAATCCTCCAATGTCACAATCAATTCTCCTCTCGAAGTCCGTAATGGCGTAGCATCCGGCAGCACCCCGATATCACCTGGCCTGGCCCTTGCTGATCCCATTCCACATGAGCAATCCAGTGATCTCAGCCAAGATCTACCCCCACCAACACTGCACAGTTGCACCCACACACCTACCCCCATCGTCTTGAATGGGAGGGTCGATAAATTGCCTGCCTGCCTGCGGTCATATTCTGGACACGGCAGGCGAAAATTGGCTGCAAAGGCTTCATTCAATTTATGTGGAGAGTCCGCCAAAAATAGGGTGTGCGGAAGGCAAAAACGAGCTTGAGCTCTCTATTACAATGTACGGAGGTCGCTACAAAAAGTTTTGTCCTCAAATCCCCTCCCCTACAAATACATATTTCTTTTTATTTCTATATATGAATCCCAAGTAATTGATTAATGTACTTTTAACTTCCATTTCAACTGTAGAAATCAAAACAAACACACCTCTGACCTTTTTTTTTCCCGTTCCCTCCCTAAAAACAACATCAACTGTTTTCACCTTTTCAAAGATGCCACGCGGCTCAAATATAGATCTAGCTACGCGAGCTGTTATTGTATCCTTAAAAACCCCCTTTGGAGGCAAAACTACTGCCCAAATCGCATGCCGACTAGGAATTCCAGAGCGGACGATAAACCGCATCTACGCGCGAGCCATTGAACGCGGGTTTGATCCAAACCAAGAACCTTTAGTTCTCAAAGACGAATATCTTACTGATGCCCCGCGTTCTGGCCGCCCAAAGAAAAGAACAGATGAAGTTATCAATCAACTTGTTCAAAAAGTACGATCTTCTACGGATAGTCGCGCTCTTTCTTGTGCTGACCTCTCTGGCTTCCTTAGGGAAACATTTAAAGCACGGGGCAGATATTGTTTATTATAATTCTATTTAATTAATGAGGTTATTTTATTATCATGTCATGTGGGTCAGGACAAGACTTTCTGTGGCGACCTTCGGGGAGAGAGATCAATTTAGGGAGCTGGATTCTGGGCACGGAGTTTCTGGAGTCGCATAGTTTGTGGGTACTTTGTTTCTAATTTACTCTATTACTATTGAGGCTGCTTCGGGTCTTCATGATGTCTGATCGCCAGGGCTGCTCATATGGCCTATCCATGTTGTCATACTGAATTCTGGTTGCAGATATCGTCACTTCAATAAAACGAACATACAAGTTTGCGTGAGGCCTGGACAGCCTTCAGTTCGGGTTACATATGTCGGACTGCTTGGACAGATAAACAAGCTTGGCTTTCGTGGAGTTGGAAACTCTTCGTTCCTCCATCTTATGGGCCTAGAGTGAAGAGATTCGTAGATTATAAGCTCCACTCTATCCATCACCTCCCCTTCAACCTCTCCAAATCACCCCGAACCTCCTCAACCTCCCCCCTCATCCCCCCATAAACCCTCGCCATCTCCCTCAAAACCCTCTCCTTCCCCTCCCCGCCCTCAACCCCAACCCCAAACTCCCGCAACTCCGCCTCCAAATCCCTCACTCTCTCCTCGACCCTAACGCGCGCGTCTCGCAAATGCGCCGCGTAGTTCACCAGGGCCCTACGCACCTCGGGCGGGTAGAAAACCGTGGCGCGTAAGAGGATAAGGTTGATCTGTGCAGAAAGGTGGGATGTTTGGGAGGCGAGGGAGAGGTGTGTTGCGCGGAGCTGGAGGGAGCGGGAGGGGGATGCGTGTTTGGATTCGAGGGCGTGGATGAGGGTTGTTAGGGTTTTGGTTTGGGTGTTGAGGAGGGGGAGGAGTAGGTTGGAGGTTAGGGTTTGGCGGTGGGTGAGGAGGGTGCCTGGGAGGTTGGTGGGGGGAGCGATCGTAGAGATGGATGATTTTCTGGATGTTGTTGTGGGCGGCTGCGGAGGTGGTGGTGTGAGTGCGAGGGAAGAGGACAGTGACGCTATGGTCTGCGGGAGAGTCGGTATCGTGCGGTGGAGGTACGACGGATTTGTCGAGGGGGAAACGACCCGGGCAATGGCGAGGGCCGAATCGTGCAGAGAGCGGGATATGAGCGGCCCGAGCAAGGGGAGGAGCTCGGATAGGTGTGAGAGTGGTGGGTGCGCGAAGAGCCGGGCCGTCGAGTCTGGCGTGGGAGGATCGCTGAGGAGAGGTGGGAGGAGGACGAGAAGATCAAGTAAGGGCTCTGGGAGGGGAGGGTCTCTTGAGGAAGTGCGTGTTGGTTCGGGGACGGAGGAGACGGCCGAGGCTAGGAGGTGGCGCTTTGCGGCTTTGAGGCGGTGGCCTTGGAGTTCCTGGGACAGTTAGTTCCTTTGCCCGAGAGCGAACAGCCGAATTGAGGGACATCCATGAGTAAATGGACGAAGAGAGTAGGGGAGATCATTCTTACGTCATGGACAGCTTCTCTGGACTTGGCAGAAGGGTCTGCTCTCGTGGTCCCATCTGGATTCAGTATCGACTTGGTAAGTGTCGCGTAAAGGGTCGCGAAGTCGGGGTTATTCTCGAGAACAGATGGTTCGACGGGCGGGAACATGGTGAATATAGAACACACGCATATCCCCAAGAATTTTTCCCTCTAAAAAAAAAACCTGCTTCTCACAATGCATCAGTTGATGGCTTTTCAGGAAGCTCGCTCCGGGAGTTGAGATCCTTGAATTGGGATATGCTCGAGAGCTTAGGCCGGTCTGGTGATGGTGGGGGAACACAGAGCTTGGGCGGGACCCACCCTTGCAGGAAGCCAGGAACCAGACACGCTATCAGGTGACCCCCTTACATAATCACCATCTCGAGAATTTCCATCCAGAAAAACTTCAAGCTTCACCATCGCCAAACCACATCACCAGCTCCAAGACGGCCAATCGAGGTTCCGCACCGCCAATTCCCCCCCGCGGCCTCCCCATCAAACGAACGACCCGCCCCAGTCAAACACCGAACGAGAAAAGGGCTAAGCCGACTTCAAAATGGCGCAACAAACCCCCCTCCGCGCCGCCCTCACCCGCCTCACCATCTCCTCATCGACACCCTCAACCCGCACCTTCTCCACAACCGCCCCAACCCTCACAAAGACCATCCAAGCCCACAAGATCCCCTCCCCCCTAACCCCCCTCTACCCGCCCGGCCCCCGAACCCTTTACAAACAATCCAACAACGGCCTCTACGGCTTCTCCCGCATCCGCTTCGGCAACAACGTTTCCGGCCGCAACGACACCCGCACCCCACGAACGTGGAAACCCAACGTCCACCGCAAAAAGCTCTGGAGTGAGTCCCTCTCCGCCTGGGTCAAGACGCGCCTTACGACCCGCGTCATGCGAACCATCAAGAAAGAAGGCGGGTTGGACGAGTATTTGACGGGGCATGGGAAGCGGAGGATTGAGGAGTTGGGCCCCGCGGGGTGGAGGTTGCGATGGCTTGTTATGCAGACGCCGCGTATGAGGGAAAAGTTCGCGGCTGAGAGGGAGAAGTTGGGCGTGCAGGTCAAGGAAGCCGAGGATCGGGAGAAGGAGGCGCTGAAGAGGGAGGAGTTGGTTTGGATTGCTATGGATTATGCCACCCCGGGACCGCTGAGCAAGAAGACGAGGGATATCCTGGAGAGGAGGGAGAAGGAGATGTTGGAGGAGGAGTATGCTTTTGGCGAGGGGAACGTTGATGTGAGGGTTAAGTGGGTGGACGGCGAGGCGCCCGAGGGTTTCGAGGCTGAGGGCGAGACCGAGACCACACCGAAGACGGCTTGATTGCGGCGAAATTCGACATTTCTCGGATCGGAAACGACATCGACACCCACTTCGAAACGACTTGAATCGGAACCTCTTTGTGTGATTAGACTCGGTGGGATTTTCGGATACTGATAGAGGAGAGAGTCCATGTTTTCTTAGTTACCCCAACACCCTTTTGCCATTGTATCAATATGTACACCAAATACAGACAACACATCAACATCCAGTCCGAGACAGAAAAGGGTGATGAAATCCTTTCCATTACCTATCGACAAGTGACCAAACTATATATACCAAGTGAAGCATAATGCCCATTTCTAGGTCCACTTTTCCTCCCACCTAAAACCTCAAATCCCACCCAATCACGGGTCCAATCTTCGGCAACTCATCCGCCACACTCTGCACATCCTTATCACCCCGTCCACTCACACAGATCACCAAATCTTCTCCCTTCTTCATCGTCTTCGCCAGCTCGATACCACCATAGATACCGTGCGCCGACTCCAACGCGGGGATGATACCCTCGAGCTGGCTAATGAGCCTGAAGCCCTCGAAAGCCTGCGCGTCCATCACGGCGCGGAACTCGGCCCTTCCGCTGTCCTTCCACGAGGACAGTTCGGGTCCGACACCGGGGTAATCGAGACCGGCGGACACCGAGTGGGTATCCCCGATTTGGCCGTGGGTGTCCTGGAGGACGTAGGTACGCACGCCGTGCAGCACGCCATGGCTACCGGCGGTAAGGGTCGCGCTGTGGCGGGGCGTGTCGATGCCGTCGCCTCCGGCCTCGAAACCGACGAGCCTCACGCTAGGATCCTTCGAGAAGGGGTAGAACATGCCGACGGCGTTGCTGCCACCACCGACGCAGGCCACGACGGCATCGGGAAGTTTGCCGCGCTTCTCGCGCAGTTGTTCCTTCGTCTCCTCACCAATGACGGACTGGAAGGTTCGTACAATGGTGGGGAAGGGATGGGGGCCGATGGCGGAGCCAATGAGATAGTGGGTGGTCTCGAGGTGGACGACCCAGTGGCGCAGGGCTTCGTTGACGGCATCACGGAGGGTTCGGGTGCCGGCCTCTACGGGGATGACCTCGGCACCAAGGAGACGCATGCGGAAAACGTTGAGTGCCTGACGACGGACGTCCTCCTAAATAATTGATGGGTTAGCATTATTCTTGAAGCGTTCGTGGGTGCTCTTTAAGTGGAAGAAAAAAAAAAAAAAAAAAAAAAAAAAAAAAAAGAAGGAAACACACATTCTAAAAGAAATGGTATAATGGTTTTCTTTAGTCCCGGGATTTCCGTGCTGTGGACGGGATTCTGGTTCCATTGATTCAACGAGGCGTAGATGACGCTCTCCTGCACGAAGTACGCAGGTGAGGGCCAGGCCAAGCCGATGACAAACAATGCCCGTCTAACTGTGTAACCCGGGTTCATTTTCTTCCTCGGCCGCCAGGTTCTTGCTCCCCGCTGATTTTACTTCATGATTTAACTCGACGTATTTCATGGACTTTTGGCTGTTGAGGCTATTCGTGGGGATAAACCCGCCTCTGACTAGCCTAGCTACTTAGTCTAATTACCTGTAGGCCACGGAGGGCGACGGCTCAGTGTTGCACGGTGGATGGCCTGGCCTGACTGTCCAGTTTGTCGTCTGGACTTGCTCCTCCAACCAGGATTGTATTACTTCGCTCGAAGAATTGTCAAAGACATACTGACCGTGGTATGTTGTCGCCGTACAGCCACCAGGGTCTTAGCACTTGGGCCGCCGATCAATGGCGACGTCGCCCAAAGAAGAAAGCGAATTACGAAGCAAATGATACCAGCATCTCGCGAGGCCGTGATAATGATCCTCCACAAGCACTTTTACTCGTGTGGCAGGGTCCAGCAACGCTCGAACCCCGGATTAGCGGCAAGCTAAGGAGGAATACTGAAGTGCCTTAACCAAATGGAGAGAAGTGAAAGTGGCGGCCAAGCTGGCTAATTATACGAAGTAAGGGAGAGAAAATAACGAATGCCAACCAATAGCATCGACATCTCCATGATGCTCAGCTTCTGAACTTGGAGATGGTTAGCGCAAAATGAAATCATTGATGAAGCGTCCCTGCCCACCCAAAGTGAGATAGCTTCTACACTACACTACACTACTCTACCGACTTGTACACTGTTATGATAAAGTTACTCCGCTAGGCTCTGTGCTGAGCTCTATCCGAATTGGGCATCCACGTGGAATGAAAGTTGGGGAAGAGTTTGACAAATATAGATCGTGCGTTCGGATTGGGTTGCATTACGAAGTACGCTACCGAGGTCGATGCGGATATGCTCTGGTTCAGCTGTGATTGAACAGGAAGCTCAACATTAGTGGGCACTTTGTTGATTTCATATCTTGCTCTCGATGGGCAATGGGGTCGTCGTTTACAAGAGTTGAGGTAATATATTCAGGGACGACAAACATGAGCTCCACTAGCCGGCGTAAAACCAATGCACCTGCTACTTGTAGGAGGGTCCTCTCATGCCTAGCCGTAAGACCAGGGCTCGTCAGGGTCTTCTGTAGTTTGTTGTGAGCCAGCCACGTCCGGTAATGATTCCGGCTGGATGATGGAGGACAAAGAAATACCGAGGTCTCGTGCAGGGCAAGGCTCGTTATCTCTTCGTCGTCGATTGGGTGTTGGATGGCAAAACAGTCCAGAAGATCAGCGACCAAGCAGTGATGTATGTATGATTGGGACTTCTCTTCTACATTGTAACAAACACTACAAAGTCGGCTTGAGGGCTTGTCCTACCATCCCCTCATGTACTTTTTGCAAAGGCCTTGTGCAATTCTCAATGCGCCCCGAAGGGAGGACTGAACCGACGCTCCTTCGTAATGAGATGTATATTACACATTCTGGAGTGAGTACGCTAAATCCAGGGAGGGAAAGGGTTTCCAAAAAGAAAAGGCCCAGCCCCAAGAAAATGAGAGAGGCTTTTTCGGCGCAACTCCCGACCGTAACAGGGGGCTATCCAGCTAGCCGCGAAGATCAGCTTCAAGCCACCGGAAACGCACCGGCCGGCGATGCCCCCAATCAAGAGACGACATGGATATCGGAGAGGGGGCCAAAATGAGAAGTGAACGAATTTAACAAATTCCAGGGGTAGATGTTTGGAATGAAACTGGATCCGTGAAGATGGAAGTTCGGATGAGACAAAGCTGCAATTAGGCAAAAAAAGATTGAAAAATGTTTGCAGAGATATGCGAGTATTTCCGAAGCCGGCCTTGAAGTTGCTGGGACCCGATCGGCATATCACAAGCCCGGGCGAATCCTCCAGCCTGGTCGATCCCTACTTCGTGGGTTTAAACGGAAAGAAAAGATGGGCGGAGCACGGTGCAAGATCAGGGTGTTGTTGGGAACCGTGGACAGGCTGATCGCAAGGGTCTCGGACCATACTTCGTACGAAGTTGGCGATCGGCTGCCAGGCTCCCTGGGCACGATCGACACTAGTAATGGGGATGCTCGGGTCTCACCTCTCACCCTTGCAAGATGCTTGATGTTGAGAGATGATATTATCTTCCGCTTCACTTCGAACAGGTTTCGAGGATGGCGGGATAATGCCGCGGCAAACGGGGAACCTGGATAGGCCTGACCATGGGGATATCCAACCTCCGCCATCGTCCGGCCATTAAACGTTGCCAGACAATGAGCCAGGGGTAATTTTCATGGGTATGCCGATATTCTCTCTCCATACTGCCCGGGTTACGCATCAAAAAGTTTACGAACGACGAGGAACGGAAAGGCACAGGTGTTTGTTTGTTCGGGCATTTTCCCCGAATCTGCCTTCTAGAATCTCAGATTTGGTGGGACCTTCCTAAAATGTCGTTTCGCCTAGTCCTGTCAAGGCACGAATTACGAAAGTCTGAAGAGAAAAGCAAGGCCACATGGGCACCACAAGTAGTAATGGAGATGTTGTGTGACCATTTGGTCTACGCTAGGAATCAGAGGAAGCAAAAATGAGAAACATCAATCACTGAAAAAGCAAGCAACGGCGCCTCCAAAGGGCGTCTGTCGCCCTGTACGAAGTATGCCAGGTCTGTCTCTCTTCAGCCGCAGCAAAATATTGAGGGATGAGTTGCCAACCTCTGCGCGAAGTACCTTCGGACTGTCGATAACCGGCGGTGACGGTGACGGTGATAGTGGAGTGGCGTCTGTGGCTAGCTTCTCTTTTTTAAAATGAATCTCCACGAGTCCATGACAAGTTGCCTGATGATTCGGAGCCGGCACCGCTCCCACAATTCCAATTCAGGAGGACAGAACTGGGTTAATCCACTCTTACCTTGTTGGGAATAGTGTTCCTTCATACCTGTGTACGGAGTAGTGCCATGTACTTTTGAATGTAGTTTAAACTTACGAGAAGAGTTTAACCTCGTGCATGGCTGGGGTGCGTCTGTGTGGAGAGACTCTTCTCTGGGCATCACCATTTTCACCACTTCCTTCGTTCACGACACCACCTGCAAGTCGTCAATTAATCTAGTTCTGGATGAAGTACTTCGTATGGATGTATGTACTTTATCTTGAACACGGACTGCGCTCAGACTGAAAGGGGAGCTCGGACTCTGTCGTCTGATATCATCTGTTGGTACCTCCACAACTTCACGGGCAGACCGACGCGAGGAGGAGAGAATCATCTTCCATGAGTAAATCTTTTCTCGGGGTACATGGACAGACCGCTTCGGCTGAGAAGATGAATTTTTGATGCTCGCACTTAATTAGTGTCTAGCGTTGAGATGGTTCCTGGTGACACAGGACCTCCTGCAGGAAGGCTTGCCGCATTTTTTTTTCTCCCGTAGACGATATTGATCCTCACCTCCTTCGTAGCTTATAGAGGTGTTTGCTTCTCCTTGTCGTTTCTCTTGTCCCTCGTTCCTCATTGCCGTACTGGACTTCCCACTCGTACGAAGTATTGGTTTACTAAGTAATAATTACTTCGTAAAAGCCTGCCAATCTTCTGGCCAGCCACATCGTCAATATCGGGTGGTCCCCTAATGCCCTAATTGTACCCAAATCGGACATATATAATAGACTTGGTGGGTGACATCGATCAATGTCAATGGTTATTCCAGAAGGACGTGACCTCCACACATCCCACACTACTTCGTAGTCCATCTGTGATCAGACAACCCCAAGCCTCGCCGACCAAATTAGTCAGTATTACCTACTTCGTACTTGTGAAAGTGTATGTACCGACCTCAAGACTCGTAAAGCCAGAGTCCGAGGTATTTGAATTTACAAAATGCTAGGAGTCCGAAGAGAGCAACGTGCAGTAAATTCTACTTCGTGCTACTAAGTATGTACCAACCATGGTCCAGCTGCCGTTGAAACGAGGTTGTAATAAGTGACGGTGCTATACTCGATTGGAGATATTATGCAATGATTAAAACTGCTGTCGAAACACGCAGGGTGAAACAGATGCCACCAAGAACCCAGGTTCGAAGGATTTCTTGGAAAGATATGCTCCACAGATTTTTTCCCTCCGTCTTTCAGGTGCCTTTTCCCGCGTCCTCCCACATGCTTCTGTGGGTCTTCTTCTTCCCCTGCTGCCGCTCTGCCAGTCGGGACAGAGAACAGGAAGAAGAAGCGGGGCAGTCTCTCTGTCTCTGTTGCTCTGTCTGGCGAGTGACGACTCCTTCCAGATCCAGGTTGACATCTCACCCTTGCAGCCTCCTCCCTTTAATGCGCAAGAAGCATGGATTTGTCTCGTTCCAGAGCCCTTTTCAACGAGACCTACCCCTCTTCCCTAGCCTCGGCAGGCTCGGTTTGAACAATGGTCCTTGTCGTACAAGGCACTACGCACGAAGTGCTAGATAGAGCTTGGGAAAGGGGCGTTGCTGATGGTGTCTGTTGCTCATCAAATATGAATCGCAATGTAGACGAAGTGGGACAAACTGCATTTTTGACCTAGATCCTACATGTCCTGACATGGCCTGGCTTGCTTTACATCGCTCCACTGGTTACCAGAGCACGGGGACTTGCTGAATGGGCAAGTCGGTCGAGAGTGGGGGTGTGGGCGAGCTTCACGGACGCGCTGCAAAGGGCATGCCATACAAAGTATGAGAATGGATCCATCAATAGAACACCTCATGTTCCTTCGCCAGGCGTTCGATACGAGACTCACTCTGCGAAGTACTCATCAATGGCCCAGAATACTGGTTCGCGGAAAGTACGGAACGCCAGCTCACAAGATAGAATTCACTTGCTTCTCATCGAATTGCGGCGATGATGGGGTCCAAGTCATGACAATAATAAGATAGGTGGGGCGATACCTGACTACAACGGCCTTGAATAACCTGAAAGGGGTTTCTTCGTGGTCTCTGGAACTGCTCGGATGAAAACTCTCAACGGCGCGGGTGGGTGCCTTCGTCTCCTTAATACAGTGAGGTAGACTGCCCGGTTGGGAATCGCTGTGGTGATTAACTCTTTAATCCAAAATCCTCAGACCCAATATGACAGTCCGTCAACGGTCGTCCTTCGCAAACGGGCTGCTCTCATCGCGAAGGCCGCGAAACTTCGTTCCTTTATGCCGTTAGGGTGTTGGAACTTTCCCGTGCTGTCGGAAGCGCCAAACTGAGCGAAAGCCGATTTTTTTTTTTACTCTCGATTCGATCTGTTTTCGATCAAACAAATCCATCTCCTGCCGACCACCCTCCGCAGACACACCTGAGCATCTCAGGTGTCTTGCTTTACTGACACAAGTACTTCGTACTTCGTACGTGTTCAGCGACCTTTCCTCTTGCCAGGCTATTTTGTCCTTCCTTGTGGATGCATCAATTCCCTTCCAACTCTGCAGGTACCAGGTGTTGCTGGAAGGGAGATAACTGGACCTGAGACTTTGGCCCGAACAGGGGCAGGATGTTAGATGAAGTACCGAGGTACTTCGTACTAATGGTGTTCTATGTACGGAGGAGGACAGTTGAGGGAGGTTGACCACACACACCATTGCCATTGTCCAAATCGCCCCCTGTATTCTTTGCAGCAATATTGGAAGTTGTGGAAGCAGGTGCAACGGTGCGAATGCTACTCTGCTCGGGTTCGTGTGGTATCCTTGTATGGTGTACCATTGGGAAGGAGTGCTGTGCCTCGTCCTAAAATGTACTACAACTGTTCCTGTGAATGTTGAAACCGGTACCGAAACGGAGGCTTTTAGGCCAAATACTGAAAGAAGGATCCTAATGAGTACTTTATTATCCCCCTGTTAGTACCTTTTGTCTACGAATACGATGGCCTTCGATCTCGACTTCTCGGTTGGTTTCTCACCCCTTTCCCAGGTACTGGTGTACTTCGAAGTGTACGAAGGCATGTATGTCCTTCGTACATTCGATCTCCCGCCGCCAATTAACACCCACCAACCTCCAAACGATCCAAACCATCATTACGACAGGGTACTTCCAAGTCAAAGTCGTACTTCGTACCCACTTGATCCCTTTGTCCTAGTCCAAGTTCATCTGCTGAGCATTCTTGCCTTGCACTACCACTTCGCGTTGTATTATCTGGTCAAGCACCGGCACCTCCAGTCGGTCATCTCCTTTCTTGAATCTTCCTCTCTCCCTATCTGCTTTTTGCTCAACTCGCCGTACTTGTTTCGTCCCTGCTTGCTTTTCCTCTGCGAAGCTGGCAGCGAGATCAGTGTTCCAACCCTCGCGAGGTATGTGCATGTGCCTGCTTGATGCATCATTGTTCCTACGTGAGTACTTTCCACTGGAGGCGAAGACGTGATAGTCTCACACAGCATTGGGACGAAAATAACTCCCGTGGTCGCTCACATCCCGCCTCGACGACCGCGTTTGGATATTTCCGCTCTGAAACCCCAATATAGTTTCTTGCCAACCCCTGATATCCCGCCCTCGCTGCCGTCCCAGTTTCCCTTTCATGATTTGCATACTGAGCTGCGCGCTGGTCAACTAATTGGATCTGCGCCTGCGTCGACCTGCAACCAGCCTATATTACGACGACCTCAATTGATGCCTTTTCCGAAGGAGGTAGTACCGACTTCGTGAGATGTGCCCCTCGGTTCGTCCGGCGCATGAATCTGTTTGCACGACCAAGTGGATCGCACAAAAGGCAACGCCTGCCGTGCACTTCTGGAGTTCTAGTTTCAGTCTCTTGATACCTTCTAAATACTGATTAATTTGCCTGGCAGTCTTATCGTGTTGCTTCTTAGTGCCGGGCTTTTTCTTGCCTCCGATGAGCCCTTAACCGGTGGCGTCTCTTGCCAACTTTCGTCGAGGTTGCGATTCAGAAATAGACTTGAGCCTCCAAACTTATCCGGCGATCGACTCGGACTTGGGCGACCATAACGATACCTTGACCTTGAGCGACGCGAACCGACATCCTCGCGTGTGAATCCGTTAATTCTACCCAGGACCCCTCCAGTGGGGGCCTATATAATCCTCCCTTCCGTCGCAAATCGCGATGAGCTCGGTACACGACTCAACGATGTCGCGACCAACGTCAGGCGTGACCACGCCTCCGCGCTCCACGAGGTCCAGAACTCACAGCATATCCAGTGACAGGCCGTCTCTGTTTGCTTCCGGCCTAATGTCTCCACCTCTTTCCGTCTCGCCCGAAGCGGCTTTCATCGCTGCCTCGGCAGCCTCACAGATTGTCACTAATGATCATGATGCGCACGCCGAGAAGTGGTACGATGACCATGGAATGGAAATGCCCAGAGAGACAGCGCTGGTCACCCTCACAGCGTTGCAGCTTGTTAACAATTTCCTGGATCAACTACTGTTCAACATTCTTTCTGTTTCCCGCTCTACGGCTCTAAACTCCCTTCGACCTGCGGTTACCGAAGTACTAAAGCCTAAACTCGCCAAGGACGCCATCAACCAGGCCGACGAGGAACTCCGTGAATATCTTGGAGGTGGCGACGAAGATGAGCTTCTCCTACCTCATGGTTCCGAAGCCTCCCGCGACTGGGATCTTGAGTTGGTTTGGAAGCGAACTCGACTGAGGTGCATGGTATACTCGTCTCTGGGAGACTTGGAAGAGGAGGATGAAGATTATTTCATGGAGCAAGAAGGACTCGAAATTGGCAGCGACGAACAGCCCGACGATGTTATTTCCCCAGCAGTAGCCATTTTCCTGACATCTATTCTAGAATATATGGGAGAGCAGGCCCTGGTCGTTGCTGGCCAAGGCGCCTATCACCGACTCCAAGCCCGCCTCGAGAAGGAGCTCAAGGATGGAGCAAGAGACGTCAACGATATCGTAGACCGCGTCGTCGTCGACGATCTTGACATGGATCGAGTAGCGCTTGACAGGACTTTGGGTCGGCTCTGGCGTGGTTGGAAAAAGAGGATTCGGTCCCCCACTTTCGAGTCGCGGCCTTTTTCCAGGGGTTCGATGCGAAGCTCCCATTTCAGGCAAAGCAGCACCGTTCCCATTGAACAGCCAGTGCCAGAGATGGGTCCAGATGAGGCTGAGACCGATGAGACCGACAAGGAACCTCCTGAACAAGAGCTTGACCCAGAGATTCTCGCTCCCTCTATTCCACTTCCGATCACCGAACGCGATATCGATGAGATTGAAGTACCAGGGCTTGCGGTCTACAGTGATGATGAAGACGAAGACGAGGCCGGATACGACGATGAAGTCATGACGAAGAGACCAGTTAGCATGGTTTCGATGCCATATCGTATCCCAATCGGTCTCGCGATCTCGGAAAATTTCTACGTTGATGTGCCCGTCGCTGAGCCCCTCAAGAGGTCCACTTCCAACCCCAATCTCCCTTCTGTTGCCCTGTGGGCGAGACGCCGTCGGCTCGCCTTGGACCTTGATCTAGGAACTGTCGACAATACGGCGAACCTGGCTGAGGACGCTGACGAGCCTGAAACAGGACTCGAAACTGCGAGCCCCACAAGCCAGGCCAGCGACGTATACCAAGAAGAGACGAGAGAGTACTCCGCTACTGAGACAAGCTCCGTACCCGAGATCCAGGGCCGCAATGATGAAGCTGGCGATTTCGAGATTCTCACCTCGTCGAGAGTTTCTATTTCGCCTTCGCTCTCCGGGTCTGATGCGGCACATTCGAGAAGCTCTAGTCGCCAGGCCACCCGGCCAGCTAGCATGTCTTCACCCCGCTTGATCGAAGTCGTCGGGCCCAAGAGCCCGGTAACGAGGTCGCCCATCGAGGCGGAGGTAGCAGAACAATACCCACCAACTAACAACTACCCCAATCAGCAGGACCGGCCTCAGGCGGTGGAGACCATTTTCCGGTCCCCAATTGCTAGCCCTATGTCTACTGTCGGGCGGTCTAGCCGGGCCGGCCGTACTTTTTTCAACTCGTCAATTGACGAAGCGGAGGAATATCATGATGCCTTGTCGATCCCTGCCGAGTCTACGCTGAGGTCTGCCGGCCTTGCTCAAGCCGGGGAGACGACGGAGGCTAAGCACTCACCCGCCGTATTTGGATCGTCGAAACGGCATCCCAAGGTCCCATCTCCCACTCAAGAGCAGCCGCATTCCGGCACAAAGGTTACAATTATCGGTACATCCAATTCCGACGGTCGATTCATCCAAACCGCTTCTCCCGAAGTGCCCTATAAGGAACCGGTGCCTAACCGTAGCTATCCTCTCCAAAGCCACGACCGCAGCGTGCCGATCGCTAAGTCGCCCGCCGCACCTGCGAGCATTGGAATGGTATCGGTGGAACGACCCACCACAAGGCCGGATACCAGCGATCTGCCACAGCTCGCCACATCGAACATTGCACCACGGCAAATTCATACGTCAGGCTCTTCTGTCTCCTCTGGTACCAGCAGGCTAAAGCCGGTACGGACATCAGAGGAGAGCGGCAGTGCTCGACCCGAGGATGTTGCGCGTAACTTTGAACAACTTATCCATAGTGATGAGACGATCCAATACACCTTGACCCCTGAAGGCGTGCGCGATATTGATGTAAGTATAGATGTCCACTCGTCCCACCTAAAACCAAAACAATTGCTAACCTCTTGCAGTCCTCGTCTTTGCACAGCAGCCCTGTATTAGCATCCAAGTCTAGGAAGAGCGATGATGTTAAGCGCATTAACACTAACCGCTCTCGCTCGTCGAGCAACTCCGGATCAGCAAAGAGAGTCGGCGGCGTGTCGACCGAAGTCAGCCGCTCGAATGCCGCCTCGTCCTATCCTCCTAATGGAAGTGCACCTAAGCTCTCCGGGCCCGTTCCACGCGCACCCGCATTGGGACTGGTTTCATCTCGCGGTTCAAATGCACAAGCCCGCGAGGCCCGAATCCCTCGTGAATCCATGGCTGAATTCGCCGATTTCATTCGTTCCACCGGCCCGATCGGAGGTGATAACGGCCCGGTTCCGGTCCGACCTGCGGCCGGATCTGTTACCTCAGCGAAGAATAGTATCGACACCCGTCGGCCCTCAACGACGAGCACAAGAAACCGTCCGCGACTCCTGGCTCGGGATGCTACCGCAGATACGCGAGAAGATAATTCCGATCTTATTGACTTTATTCGCAGGGGCCCCAGCGGACCAGGCGACCACCGAATCCCGCGTGCAGTTGCTCCGTTCCGAACAACAATGGATTCTGATCAGATGTCTGGGGCGGTTGGTGGCAAGGCCGTCGATGCCACACTTCCTAACATTCGATATAGCCAAGCGTCTACAAGCGTCACGGATATGGCACCCTCGATGCATTCTTCTATCAACTCTCAGAGCGCTCTGCTGAAGAGCAAGCCCTCGTATCAGACCTCATCCTTCGACGAGGAGGATTCGATGCCGATTCCGAAGCGAAAGACCCGTAGAGTTCGCGATCCCTATGCTATTGACTTTAGTGATGAAGAGGATGATCAAGTTTTTGCCCAGCCGGCTAGACCGGCAAAGAGAGAGGAGAGCTTGGCCGAATTCCTCCTCAACTACGAACCTCCTCCAGAGCCGGTACAGAATATCCCACCACCGGTCCAGACCAAGCTGGCCAAGCCCAAGAAGAAATCGAGCACGAGCAACCTCATGGGTCGATTCACACGCAGTAGTAGCAGCCACAGTAACAACCATCATGCGGCCAACAACTCTAGCACACTTCCGCCGCTGCCGCGGACAAACAGTACCAGCAGCGGCAAGGGGTACATACCTATCCAGGTCAACATGCCAAGTGGATACGACAAGTATGGGCCCGTCGACTCGAGTGCAGCGAAGACTTCGTCTTCTCCAGGAACCGTTAGGGTGCCGCGGAAGAGGTTTGAGCCACGAGAGGCTGTCTCTACTCATTCCAGCTCGGCTACTTCAGATCTAGCTGCCTTCCTGCGAAGCTCTGGGCCGCCCTCCGCTAGTGGACCCCGATATGCCTCCGGCAGGTGAAGCGAGAGCGGAGACAACTTTTCTTCTATTTAATCTTTTGAACTCCCAGTCGCTCGACGGCATCTCATCATTTATACCCATGATTTTCACGATACTTTTCTTCGCACACGTACAACCGCACTAGCATACTTCTCGTCGCGTGTTGATGACGATCTAATTTTGGAACCGAGGGAGGCGTTTTTGCGGAGGAAGGGCAAATGCCTGTCTACCTTATAGACATGATAATGGGTGGATCGAAGTCTTGTTTTTCTTCCCTTCTATTGATTCTATTTCCTAGAGGTGTATGACTCGAATATCTTTGTATCTATTTCAAATCGTGTCTTTGAAATTTTTTTTTTCTTTTGCTTCGGGGTACTGTAAATAGCACTCACTATTTTTATGTTGTTCCTTTCGATACCACTTCAATCCGATCCGTCCCTGTTGTCGTTCTAGTCCTTCCCTCGTCCAAAACTGCCTTGGCGTGTCGATGAGTCCAACTAAAATAGGAAGAGAGAGGGTGAATTTTGGACCTCGTAAAGCCTCACTCTTTTAACGTTGTCAACATGGATTGGGGTGTGTCATGTAGCCTTTCTACAAGTAGTTGCTGAAGATGAATCATTCAGTTGAAGTTCGCTTAGCTCCGCCAGTTCAACGGCGATCCAACGAAGAACCACGATCGTACCCGGACAGATTATTCAACTGCCGATGCAAATAAATACTAGGTATACTTGCTCATCGCTTGATCCTGTTTAGTCTGGGGTTGAGTAGCGCAACGCTGCTCTGCATGAGGACGCCTCCGTGGCGGCGTTTCGTTGAATACTCGACTGCTGGTCCACGCTACAAGTATATTGCTTCAAGATGTCCGAAGCAACGTCTAGTCGTGTACCAGATGCCGAAGAATAGGAATACATACATGTCGAAATTTCAACTCGACTCGAGGATAGATGTTTCGGGCATGCTAAAAATGCCATACTTCTGAAGTTCTCCTGGAAGCATACGCACTTGCGGTCGCTCTTCGCGGCTACGAATGCACAGATGGATTGCCGAACTTAAAACTTTTCATTGATCTAGACTCTGCCAACCAGATCCGGTCATAAACGGCCAACTTCACGGGAACCATATTCTCATGATGGTTAGACGTAAACGACCTGCTAGTCAACACTGACGCGCCATGCTAATGGGCATGCGTCAAGCCCTGAAATACGAAACACCGCGGATTTTTTTCTTCCCTCTCTAGTACCAAAAAGAAGGGAATGCAGGTGGCACATCGCTGGCCCCAATGCGCGAAACACGGAGCTTACCAGCCATCATTGGTGTGGGAAGCGTTGTAGCCATCGTCAGCATCATTGTCTGCCACGGGGGAGCGCGGGCCCTTCTCAGATTCGTTGTCGGCATTCTCCTTCTCGGGACACTCTCGAGCCAGATGATCAGTGCTTCCGCAGTTGAAGCACGAGCGGGAACCGCCACCGCCCTGCTTATCAGGGCACTCTCGGGCGAGATGCTCAGTGCTACCGCAGGTATGACAGGCACGAGGGCCGCGACCTCCCTGGGGGCAATCACGGGCGAAGTGACCAGCTACCCCAGGAGTCAGTATCCACCTGGACAGCAAATTCTGACAGGAAAAGTTGGGCAAAATCTTTCAACTTACTCTCATTGCACTTGCGGCACTCAACATTCTCGGCAGATCGTGGCTCCTCGCACTCGTTGGAACGATGTCCCGGCTTACTGTGTCCAAACTGTCAGTTTATCGAACGTAACTAACTGTTTGAATTTTAGCGACTTACCCGCAGTTGCGGCAGGCATTCTTCATACCGCGTGGCTCCGGGCCTGTGATAGAGTATCAGCATATAGGCGACTAAGAATGGCAGTAGATTGGGGATATCGAAGAAATGTGGAACGTACAGTCTCGCACGCGATGGCCAACACCATCGCAGTTGTAGCACTTGATGACTGTGCGGCTCTCATTCTCGACAGGCTCAGCCTGGCAGTGCTTCCGTGTATGGCCCATTTCCTTGCAGTTGCTGCACTGGGGAATACCAGTCTCAACGACCTCACCTGCATCCTGGAGGCGGGCAAGCAGCTCCTCACGATCCACAGGCCAGCCATCCTTCTCACGGGGACGGGAAGGCTGATCGCTGAAGCGAAAAGAGACGGTGTACTTCTTGTAAAGATTGCCTTGGAGGTCCATGTTGGTGTACGATGGCAACAGAGGTCGCTCCATGGCAATAAGGAAAAGATTCATGTTCTGCTCCATCAGAGCCTCTTGGAAGTCCCGATAGGTCATTGTGGGACAGGCCTTGCAGTACTTAGCAACAGCTTCCTTGACATCGTCAAGGTCTCGCTCACGGATGGCGGTCGCGAGATCGGCCCAAGCGTCGTCAGGACAGACGTCGGGGATATGGCTACGATCGACGACTCGGGCGTTCTCGCACTTGGAGCGGCCGTGACCTGTGCATTTAGGCGTTTAGTTTTATTCATTTTTATGGCTTTCTGGACGGTGCTGTCCTTGACTTACCTTCCTGGCCGCAGTTGCGGCAGACAATAGGCTCACGGGTAGGGCAATCCTTCACCATGTGACCCTCAACGCCGCAATGCTTGCAGGTGCCGGTGAACTTTCGAGGGTTCGGACAGTCCGCCTTGTTGTGGCTTCGCAAAAGTTAGTCTGGGGATGGTCGACCCCTGTAGTCTCCTAGGATTGTTAAGGCTACACTTACCCTTCCTCACCACAATTGAAGCAACCACGCCTGGCGTCACCATTATCCGCGTCACGAAAGGCGCTAGCGGCGTCGTCGCCGTTGCGGCCGTTCTGAGTACCACCGTTGCGATCATTCTCGCCCTCATTCCTACAAGTTTGCGTTAGAGAATGAAACGGCACGGAGAACTATTAGCCAATTGGCATCGGAACATACTCGAAATCATACTTGGCCTCATGCTTCTCCCTAGTCTGGACCTCCTCCGAAGGGCCCCACTCCCACTGTTGATCCGCCATTCTGAGATGGAATAGAGTAGACTATGAAGAGACTGGAACAGACGAGTTAGACAGGGGATGCCAAAAGAAAATGTGAGATCTAGGCGAGGACCGAAGGTTTGAGACAGATCCAACCAGGAGGAATGTTGCAGGGAGAAGAATAGTACTGTACAACCTAACAGGTAGCAGGCCGTGTTGGACTAGAGGAGAGTCCAGAGAGACTGACGATTGAAGCTTGAAGAAGCCTCAGTGACAGAAACCCTAGTTTCTGAGATAGTCTTGATGACCTGGTAGGGGAAGAGAATGTTGGGAGATTAGGGGAGATTGGAGGAGACGATGTATTTAGGGCAGGAAATGTTGAGGTGATGAGGGAGGTACAATGGGGGCAGGATGAGGAAAGTGCAAAGGCGAAGGTCAGACCAGAGTCACAAGTACTTCTTCAACTCAGAGTACCTGTCAGTGCCGTCACCTCTGATGAGTCCAGGGGGATAATGACCTCAAAAGAGCCGAGGAAATTGAAAATGGGGACGAAATTGGCAAGCTACTGGTGGAGGTGTTGCAACTGATGAAGAGCCCTCAATGGAGGATAGTTGACCCCCTTTGGATGGGCAGAAAGAACAGGCACCAGAAAAGCCAGGGGGATAGGAAGAAAATCAACGCAAAGAATGAAGTGCCAACACTTACCAAACGGGAGAAAATAGACTCCTATTTCTGGTATAGGAGAAAGAGAAGCGCGCGACTTGGTGTACCAAACACTGGTAGCTTTGGAGGATTCCAAGTCCAAGGAGGGATGGTGAGAAAAGAAGAATGAGAACAAGGAGAGAAGGGAGAAGGAATTTTAATACCTGTTTGTAGTTTCCCCTGGCTGGGGTCAAGATAGGAAGAGTTCCTTTGCGATGCCTAGGGATGGATAGAGTCAACGGCTACTTGCAATGAGTTGAGGGATAGTGACACTACATTATCGTGGAGGGTACCGGTCCTCCTTGTAAGTTCAAAGCCATGACTTTATCCATGAGTCCTTCAAGGATAAGACTATGAGAATATTTGCAAGTAGTGAAGAAATGATATTGGTTGTGCTCTGAAGGTGTCTGATAAGAGACTTAAGATGGGGGTATTTACAGGCATGTAGATCTAGAGCTCGGAGATGAATGAGGCGTTTGGTTAGGTGTTGAAAAGCTATGATCCACCAAACGAACAGAACCGATCCGACTGTCTATCTAGCTATTTGCTACGTATATAGCGGAACAATGGAAGTGGTGTCCCTCGCTCTCTTAAAACCTCTTGAGACGGATGACAGCCATCATCGACGAAGCTTCAAATGGGTCAGCTTGAAGCTGTGTAAGCCATCCGAAGATATAATTCTACGTTCTATGATTGAACCCTTTCCGAAGTACAGCCTTGCCAAACAGCCTCACCGAATATTGGCCTATTGAGCGGGTTCTGCGAGTAAGCCTCCAAGAGCCATATTGTATCATGTTCAGGCGCCCATCAAGTGGCTTCTTTCGGAAGTCGATGAGCGAATGAACGAGGCGCCGATTGACCGCCGAACGAAGCGGGGTCCCGGATCAGTCGGGCCGCTGAACAGGGATTGAGGCTCCCGGAGACCCAACCAAGTGCCTCATACCTGTGCTTGCTTTCTATCAAGACGATACTAACTCTAGTCGCATGCGCAAATTTGCTCTTAGACTTGCACCTTCCCTCTGAAGGTGGGAAAACTTGTTCTTACTAATTGAGAAGTCAATGGGAAGGTGGCCGGGGTTCCTGGGATCATGTGGGGAGTGGAGTGTTGCCGTCAGGAACACCTTCCCTTTCACACACACGAGTGCGGGGCAACCTCAACCTCGTTGCTCGAGCCGGAACAAGAGCAGCGACGTCAAAATTTGGTCCACGATGCTGACTCTTGTCTGTCAAGGTCTTCTGCTCTCTGCTCCGTCTTCTCAATGTAATATTGGCGAGAATCCAACTTAGTGGGGGGCAGAGTGTACAATCATTCATGAAATGCCTTCCTGCAAACGACTAACCTCTGACCCGGACACTAGTTCCGCTTGCTCTCCCACCAACCAGTAATCCTCCCCCATCAGATCCTAAACAATTCGAACTTTGGGTGCCTTGACTCCCCCGACGCTACCCTGCAAGATCGCCAGGCCGGAAGACTACGGCCGGTAAATTTTGTACGGGAAATAGCCCGTTTATTGGGTCTCTTTTGTAGGATCTGTATTAGAAATGCATTGATCGTTCGCAGCTCTCTGTTTGGACTCGCGCCGTAGCTATGATCGATGAAACGTACGTGGCGCTCCGCCGCCTAGCTCCCCTCTTCTCCAGGCCACAGACAACGTTCGATCCAGTATTTTAAAGCAACCACCCTCCCCGCTTCTCGTCTCATTCCGTCTGGTTCAGTCGAATTTCTATATCTACTTGCCAGCTTGTCTTTGAACCTTTAAGACTGTTGCCAATTGGTCCCTACAGTTCCTTCAATTATTCCATCTCTCGTCACAATGTCGAAGCCCGAAGACCTCCCTCCTATGCAGTACCGCTTCCTCGGGCGAACTGGTCTCCAAGTCTCCGTCATTTCTCTCGGTGGCTGGCTCACATATGGTGGCCATGTTGACAAAGGTATGCTTGTCTCGGGAAAAATGCTTGGACAAGAATTGGGCTTCTCGGGTGCCGGAGAGACTTGCTGACTTTCTTGTCCGTTTGGTAATGCACAGACGGAACCCTTGCCTGCATGAAGGCTGCCTACGACTGCGGAGTCAACTTCTTCGACACCGCCGAGGGCTACGCCTCTGGCGAGTCGGAAATCGTCATGGGGGAGGCTATCAGGCACTTTGGATGGAACCGCAATGATCTAGTCATCTCTACGAAGGTAAGCAGCTCTTTGTGTGAGCTCCTGCAGGCTTGCATTCCCCTCCTATGACGTATTGCCAGGCATATTAAATCTCATTTTGAACGGAATAGCTCTACTGGGGTGGCGCGTTTGGCAAGAACCCGGTCAACAACACCGGTCTGTCTCGGAAGCACATAATTGAAGGAATGAACCAGTCCCTCAAGCGACTCCAGCTCGACTATGTTGATATTATCTACGCCCACCGACCCGACCGCCACACACCCATGGAGGAGACCGTGAGGGCCTTCAATCACCTTATCGACACTGGTAAGGCGTTTTACTGGGGAACTTCGGAATGGAACGCGGACGAGATCATGTCGGCGTGGCGGGTGGCCGACCGGCTTGGCCTCATCGGACCTGTCGTAGAGCAGCCGCAGTACAATATGCTGTATGTTTAACATCTGGCGGAGCCTTTTTCCCTTCTGGTTTACAACTAACATGAAATAGTGAGCGTCAAAAGGTCGAGGGTGAATTCGCCCACCTCTATCGTGAGATCGGCCTCGGTTTGACCGTCTTCTCCCCCCTCAAGCAGGGCATCCTCTCCGGAAAGTACAAGAACGGCATCCCCGACGATTCGCGGTTCGCCCAGACTCAAGTTGAGTTCGTCAAGGGTTTCTGGAAGGCCACAGGAAAGGAGAAGTGGGACGGCATAATTAAGCAGGTCAATTCGCTCGAACCCATCGCGGAGAGGCTCGGCACTAAGCAAAGCTCGCTCGCTGTGGCCTGGGCTATCAAGAACCCGAACCTCAGCTCTGCTATCATCGGCGCGAGCTCGATCGAGCAGATTTATGAGAACATTCGTGCGCTCGAGGTTCTTGATAAGTTGACGCCAGAGATTATGGAGGAGATTGATGAGATCCTTAAGAATAAGCCGCCTGCGATTACTCCTAGGTATTAAATTAGTTTGGGAAGAGCAGTAGCTAGGATTTCAATAGACAGACGGAATTGGATTTATTCTCTCAGTTTAAAGATCAGCCACTGTTGATACCCCGCATTTTTCCTGGTGGTGATGCTCTGCCCATGTGCTCTCCCATGTGCTCCATGTTGCATCCACACCCGTGGACGGACTTCATGAATGAGCCTCGGCAACACCCCTCCAGCTTACCTGGACCACCACACCAAAAGAGAGCTCCCGGAAGGCGATGTTCAACTCCGTCAAACACAATTCCATCGCTACATTCTTCCTTTTAACGACGTCGTAATCCCACCTTAATCTAGAACACTTGCCGAAAAAATATCCCAAAGAAAAAAAATAGTCCTTGGAAAAAGGAACCCCCAAGAATACGGCCAAAATGACATCTCTCACCAACTACAAATATGCCCACTTCATCGTGACGTCGCCGGGCCCCTACGTCGCGCACGTGGAGATCAACCGCGCCTCCAAGCTCAATGCCTTCCATCGCAACATGTGGCTCGAGTTCGGCGACATCTTCGACAAGCTATCCCACGACCCGGAGGTCCGCGCCGTTGTGCTCTCGGGGGCCGGCGACAAGGCGTTCACGGCGGGGTTGGATGTTAAAGCTGCGGCCGAGGAGGGCGTTATAGCAGGTGGCGGGGCAAGCGAGGATGTTGCGAGGAAAGCGACGGCGTTGAAGAGGTATATTTTCGAGTTTCAAGAGTGTATTACCAGGATGGAGAAGTGCGAGAAGCGTGAGTAGTACCTTTGGTGCTTTTCCTTTTCTCCTTTGGCGCAGCAGGTTGATGGAGCGTTTACTTCGTATATGGTGATGAAACTGAGGTGGTCGACGTTCACCGAGATTTTTGATTTTACTAACTTACGCCCGATAGCCGTCATCTGCGTTCTCCATGGTGTATCGATAGGCCTCGCCATCGACATCGCAACATGCGCCGACATCCGCATCGCCGCTCAAAACGCCCACATGGCCGTCAAGGAAGTTGACGTCGGTCTCGCCGCTGACATCGGAAGTCTCGCTCGCCTGCCAAAGGTCGTCGGTAACTCTTCTTGGATCAAAGACGTATGTTTTACGGCCCGTCCCTTTTCGCCCGAGGAGGCCCTGGCTGTTGGGTTCGTGAGCCGCGTGTTGCCGGATAAGAAGTCGGCGGTTGAGGCGGCGCTACAGTTGGCTGGGAAGATTGCGGGCAAGAGCCCCGTAGCGGTGCAGGGGACGAAGGAGCTGCTGAATCATGCGAGGGACCATTCCGTTGACGAGAGTAAGTGGCTCATATTTACATATGCAACAACCTTTGAAGAGTTCTTCTGGCCTGAGTTGCGCTAACTGGACAATGAATAGATCTACGATATACTGCCATCTGGAACGCGGCCATGGTGCAATCAGAGGATGTCAAGAAGGCCCTGATGGCGGGGTTGACTAGGAAGACTCCGACATTCGAGAAGCTTTAGAAGCAAGGTTATAACGTGGGAAACTATCAAAATAGCAACGACATGGTCGGCTGGGGTAGCATCTTTAAATCATTGTACTATATTGGGTATCTTTTTTCGACATATATAAATATTACATGAAAGGCAGAGAAAAGAGGGCCTGGTGGATCCAAATCAACACTCCTTCCGCACGTGGCGAATCGGCTGCGTGTAGAGCTTTCGAAGAGATCGGGTAGTGCCGGGTTCGTGGATGGGGCAGGGCGAGGACGGGGGAAGCTGTATAATGTGCCGACGGCCCTCTTCTCGGCAGTCACCAATGCGAGCGTAGTGATGCACATCAAAAGCAGCGGCCCTAATCCGATCCGGACCCATCCTGCTGGTCCTGCGTATGACGAAGTTTCTAACGGAAGAGAGAAGTATACATTAGCCGAGCCCGGAATAGGCGGGCTTGATTCTCGGAGAAAAGAGAGGGACAGGAAAAAAAAAAGAAGCTAAAACGGTTCGGCCCTTACTTCGTCAAGCTTTTGCTTTAGCTGAGCGACCATAGTTTCCTTGACGACGCAGCGCTGCTCGTCGAGATCTTCGATTATGTAGTCATGGTTCTCGCTGTCGATGTTTACGATAATGGACTTGACGGCAGGGTCGCACTCGATGAGGACGCCTGGGAGTGGAGTGTACAGCCGGAGTTAGTGCTGATCGGGAACAGGAGATGAGGGCGGGGGAGGGGCGCAAGGGGCCTTTTTTTCACGAACCTCGGATAGCTCTGGGCATGATGGGTGGCGGGCGTCGTGTGGTTGGATAGTCGGATAGGGGACTGGATGAGGAAAGAATAGGAATCCGACGAAGGTTTCGAGGTGAAGGCCGGGGCAAGGATCGCTGCCGTGTTTGGACCTGGATTTGATATTGAAAATATTGATCTGGTCGTGATGCTTACTCATTCCTCGGAGAGACTTGGGGATTTACATATGAATTCCGTACAAAATCACAAGCCGACGTGCAATTGGAGGAAAACGCTATCTGTAGACTGCAGGTGCCAGAATAATTTTGTGCACATCATGCAAAGACGTCATCAATTGGCTTTTTGACAACCCCGCCATCATCAATTTTTATTTTTATTTTTATTTTTATTTTTATTTTTTATTTTTTTTATTTTTTTTTTATTTTTTTAAACATCATTGAATTCAACTTAGCTGAGAGAACAAATACCGCCTCAGAAGGAAGAGGCAATCCTATTTACCGAACTATGGCGCAAAATCCACCTTGCCTTGGACGAAGTAGACGCAGGTTCAAATGCACCCTGCGTAATCCCGGCGATTGAGTATCTTGTACTCCGTAGTGTAGTTCTTCCCATCATGCGTTCATCTTGACAAGCAAGATTGGCTTGCGGAAAATCGGCGCGGGCGGCTTAGGCTCGAGAAGGTGCGTTGGAAGCCGGTCTGCCAAGCGCCAATGGCACTATTTCGTATCTTGAGTGAGGTCTTTCAAGGAAAATAGGTTGTGGCGAAGGGTATTTTCACAAACGGAAAATGAGGTCTTTAATTAGTTTACGAGATTTATGGACTCGTTGGTATCGTGGTCTAGATCTGGTTCGATATCGGGGGGTTTGGGAGGGTTCCGTGTTACAAAACCCTTCTTTCTGGGGCTCATACATCTCTCATATGGACCTGTTTGCCTTTCATTGCTCGCTCGTGGTCGGTCCGTCTTCTACTAAAGAAGCTACCATGACCGCATGATCATGATGTTTTGACCCATCCTATTTATGTAAGTTGGCGGAAATCGTGTAATCGCTCATCACCAGAAGCCAAGCAGATTTGAGCGGGCGTGAGCGGGCTTTGAATAGTCTTCTAGTCCTATCTAGGCAATCAGAAACCGTATGAGCCACCCGGGATTTGATAATGGGATCCAGTATTCAAGGTATCACCAGGCTCGATCTCCGGCCTCCATCGGGCCTCTTCTCCGTCCCGTGGCCCGAGGATAAGACTAGGTAGAGCCGAATGGTCACCATTATCTTCCATTGTCCAATCTCAGTTTGATTAGGGTTGCTTTTGATGACTTATCCTGTCCCTCTGGAACTCCTAAGAGCGCAATAGTGCAGATGCGAAGGGGCTCACAAGACTTTCAAGCCTTGGAGCCGTCCCAGTCCGAATACGTAATTGGACAAACCCGGCTTGTTCCGGTGCTTTGCAAGTCTTTTTGCCCCCCACTAACAGAGGCTGGCTCGATACAAGGATACTTCGTACCTGCGAAGAAAGCGCGAGATGGAAGCCAAATGGCACCAACGGGAGATAGGGATGGGGCAATGAGACAATCGAATGGACAACTTGGATGGGATCAAGCGTGGAGGGATGTGGAGGGGTAAAATACGGTAATACAGTAATACATAGTAACAAACCTAATGTACCCTTTTTCCTGCTTTCTGCAGGTGCCCCTCATCAGCTGTTGAGGTCCCCCTCGACCCCTCGACCCCTCGCTCGACTTTCTACAAGTACGCAGTACGTAAAACCTCAGGTCATCAACAACTCCCTCCCACCACTCTCAACACCTCATATTTTTTTGTTGACACCAGACGAGAGAATTTTCTTGGAGGAAACATCGAGTCCTTCTTATTCCAAATTGTATGTCCAATTTCCAATTCCCAAGTCTCTTGCCTTACAATTCACTAGTCCTCTTCTTCCTCCCTCGTCCCTCATCGTTCGCGGATATCTAGCACTACCTTTGAACCCCGCAATTGACACAGCCGTTATCTAGTGTTTTTCAAGCTTCTCGACACATCTAAATAGCGCGCAAAATGGGTCTCTTGGAAGATTTGAACCTCAAGCCTGGCGTCCTCTATGGCGATGATGTCCTCAGCGTATGTTTCTTACATCCACCCAAACGAATTGACCTTCGGATCCATCACCCGAAGCTGCCTGGATGTTTCGGAAAGGCTAACTTGGCGCCGTTGGACAGCTCTTCAACTATGCCAGGGCCAAGGGCTTCGCCATCCCCGCCATCAACGTCACTTCCAGCTCCACGGTGTAAGTCCTGCGAATTCTGTCCTCTCGTACTGCTGTTGTCGTATACCGGGGCTGACTTGTATGCGCGTCTGCCCATATCAGCGTCGCTGCTCTCGAGGCTGCCAAGGACGCGAAGTCTCCCATCATCCTCCAGGCTTCCCAAGGTGGTGCTGCCTTCTTCGCCGGAAAGGGCATCGCCGATTCCTCCGAGAAGCGCGAGGCTTCCGTCGCTGGTGCCATCGCTGCCGCCCACTTTATCCGCGCCGTTGCTCCCATTTACGGCGTCCCCGTCATTCTCCACACCGACCACTGCGCTAAGAAGCTTCTTCCCTGGCTCGATGGCATGCTCGACGAGGGTGAGTTGAATTTTATATCTAGATTTATATATCATCAACTTTATTCTAGGTTGAAGCTGCTGTTAACTTTTCACTACTTTCATAGACGAGCGATTCTTCAAGGAGCATGGCACTCCTCTCTTCAGCAGCCACATGATCGATCTCTCCGAGGAGCCTGTTGACTGGAACATTGAGACCACTGCCAAGTCTGTTCCTCCCCCCACGCCCTGACAGCCGGTAAATTCAACAGGGGAAATGAATTGATCTGACCATGCCAACCGCGATAGGTACCTCAAGCGTGCCGCTCCCATGAAGCAGTGGCTCGAGATGGAGATTGGTACAGTCTTGCACCTCCCCTTGTCCTGAGCGACGATTGGCTAACGTGCAATCTAGGTATTACCGGCGGTGAGGAGGATGGCGTGAACAACGAGGATGTTGACAACGCGTCGCTCTACACCCAGCCCGAGGATATCTGGAAGGTCCACTCCACCCTTTCCGCCATCTCCCCCTACTTCTCTATTGCCGCCGGCTTCGGTAACGTCCACGGTGTCTACAAGCCTGGCAACGTCAAGCTCCACCCCGAACTGTAAGTCCCCTAAATATATTTCTGTTCGTCCTTTCCTAGCGCGCCAAAGACGCCTATTATAGAAAAAAAAAAAAAAAAAAAGGGGGGCATTGCTAACGGGGTTCGGATACCTCCAGTCTCGGCAAGCACCAGGCCTACCTCAAGCAGCAGCTCAAGACTGAGGACGACAAGCCCACTTTCTTCGTCTTCCACGGTGGTTCCGGCTCTGCCGTCTCGGAGTTCCAGACCGCCATCTCCAACGGTGTTGTAAAGGTTAACATCGATACTGATACCCAGTGGGCCTACCTTTGCGGCGTCCGTGACTTTGTCACCAAGAACATCGACTACCTCAAGACCCAGATCGGAAACCCCGAGGGTGAGGACAAGCCCAACAAGAAGAAGTACGATCCTCGTGTCTGGGTAAGTAGCAATGTCCCCCTTTCTGATGCGTGTCGCCGTGGCAGTCTGCTAACCAAGCCTGTCTTGTAGATCCGCGAGGGTGAGAAGACGATGACGGCGCGCGTCAAGCAGGCCCTCGTGGACTTCTACGCCGCTGGTGTCTTGTAAATGATTTATCGGGAAGCATGCATTTTGAAAATAGTTATGAGAGTTATACGAATTGGGTCGCATGAAAGGATAGGAGCAATTGGGTCCATAGTACCCCGGGGGGAATGCCTTGCATGTCTCTATTGGAGATAGGAAATATCACCTACATTTAGAGAGGCAGAAGCTACACAGACATCCTTTGACGAAGTAGTGAGATTGTGAAATGTCGGTCTACCGAGGTAATGGCGCCGAAACTGGCGGAGTGTTGGGAGTTGACGGCGCCATTGTTCGCAGTTGAAACCCTACCCGCGCCGGTTTTTTAGTGGATGTCTCGCGAGCATCGGCTGATTTTGTCACCGACGACGTAACACGTAGCACATTGAGCTTATCGCAGAATTAAGGGGCAGGGCCATGCGGCTGAGACGAAGGAGAAACTGTACGAACTGGATTCCTGGAAACAACCATGCAATTGAAAAGAAAAGAGATCTCTCGTGCTTTTACTTCGTAATCTAGTATAATGCCGGTAAATGGGAAACGGCGCCGGCAACTCTTGGGACAAATATAGCTAGCGCATGACCGTTTTGGCAGTGAGCTCAGAGTTTAGTCGTACGAAATAGTGGACACCGGCAGCAAGAATGTCGCCCTGTTAGGGAAAAGCACACTAACCTGCTGGTGAGCTCCCAGCCAAACTATATTTTGGGCGTGCTGTGAGATGCTGTCAAGGCCTGGTGCCGTGTGTACCGAAACATGTGCTGTTGCATTACGAGGCGAGCCTCCATGACTTCATACGAAGCCGTAGTGGACGGCCAGGCTGCCGTGGAGGGAAGGACAAAGACAAAGGGGGGAACCATGACGTGGACAAGAGCGGAGCAGTCTCCGAGAGACATGTTTTGCTGGAATCTCGTTTGCAGAAAAAGGGCAAGATTGCGTCGCGCAAGAATGCTCACGAACGCAGTGGGATCCTGTCCCTGGCACGTTTGGAAATGGCCAGAATTTTTGGAGATGGACAGAAGTATTTTGATGAAACCCGCACCGCAGAGGTTACATTCTTACATTCATGTCTGCGTCACAGGAGACTTGTCGTCATCGACGAAAGTGTAATAATAATAATCTGTGGCAACATGGAGGGGCTTTCAATGTGCCAGAATACCTGTATGGGGCCAAGATGTGGTTTTCGAGAGTTTCAGATCCCAATTAATCTGTCCCATCTTGACTTCCACCCCCTTTGCCAACCCTTGAGGGTCCAGAAGATCATAATACAGCCTGTCAATGTTTCGTTTCGAGATCGTCCCAGTCTCCGGTCTTTCCTTCCTCTTGATCCAAGTCCCCGCAAGCGCACTTGCCTCAACATTCTTACCAGCCTCAATTGCACCTTCCGCAGTCGCCATGCCTGCCCCATCTCTGGGTTGATGTCGCCTTCCCGTGCTTTGCTATTGCAACTATCTTCTTAGTTTCGCGAGTTTAAATTTCCGTCTCTCTTCGCTTGACGTGGTCTCTTTCCGTGCCGACACGAGCGACGCTTTCCCATTCGTAGGCTCTAGGGGATTTATTATACCTCAACCAGAGCCATTATTTTTTAACTTCCCTGCCGTTCTCCGAATTAAAGAGGTGCGAAAGGAAAGGTGGCAGATATCAGGCATTTGGGGGGCAGAACAGGCATCTGTCCCTCCGAATCCGAATCCGACAGTGTTGTGGGCTAAGGTTGGATTTGAAGCGTATCACTTGCTCCAGCCACCACACCAACCTCACAGGGAAGAAACTCTCTCCCAGGTGGATTCTGATGCAACTTGCCTCCTCACACGACACGCCTTACGACAACTTAATTTGAAGCCCTCGACATTTCTTTTTCTGTGGAATTCCCTTCGATAATTTAGCTCTTTTATTTCCGTTCAATTTCCTACCCTGTGCCGAGCGACGAGCGCTGTGATTATTTTTCTTCCCCTCCATTACATTCCGACTACGACGACTACGACACCGAGCTTACGACGAGCTATCGCCCCTCCTCCGGATCCGACGGGAGCTAAATACGCCAGTTGTCGAAGGAGGGCACGGCCAGGCTGGACAACGTGGTCGTTCACGATTTGGGCCTGGAACAACTCTAGGAAACGCACAGAAGACGATTTCTTTATTTCAAACACGCCGATTGACTTTTTAAAGGCGTACACCTACAACTTAATTCATCCTCCGTCTCCCGCCGCGAGCGTTCGTTCATCACGAGACTCCCGAACCATCTCCGAAATCTCCATTCTCCATCTTGCTGGGCGCCCTAGGCCACAGCCAAAACCATCGTCGACGCCGAAAGCGACACGAACAAGAAGCGAACGAATAAAAAGAAAACCCTATAATACCCCCATCACTACATACAAATACAAAGCCGACCCAACATGTCTTCACCGTCCACAGATACCGATATTGACAACGACGACAACAAGTCCTTCACCAACAATCCCTACACATGGATCATAACCCCCCTCATCCTCTTCATCCTCATCGCCGTATGCGCAATTATAATCCAGATGCGCCGCCGTCGCGCGGTCCGCCGCTTCGCCGAAGCCCACACGGCTGGTAGCAACGGAGGTGGAGGGAGAACTGGCCGCCGCCCGCGGAACAGAACGGATTTGGAGGGCGGCCCAGATGACTACGACGCTCCGACTACGCGGCCCGGTAGGGCGAGGCGGTGGGTCGGCATTAGAGCTGCTGCCGAAAGGACCGACGTTGAAGGGTTGAATGAGTTTGGGGAGGCGCCGCCGCCGTATAAGCCAGCTGCCAAGAAAGACGACGAGGATGTGGAGTTACAGAATATGGGGAGGGGTCAGGCGGAAGACGCGGGCGAGATACCAGCGACTCGGCCGCCGGAATATAGTCCGGCGCAGGGTGAGGCTGGCGAGGGCGTGCGAGCTCCCCCGCCTGCGTTTACGCGATACGCATAGAGCGAATCTTGTCGAACTTGGGGTCGATTTGGTGCGGAGGAGGAAAGAAACTACTCGGCATAGCTTCTCGCCCTCTAGTATCGAGGAAGGAAAGTTAGGAAGGCTCGCAAGGTCTAAGCCAGCCGTCCCATCTACGGAGGAATCCTTGTATTATTGTCACGACTATTAGCGAGCTGGTTCATATTTGGCTGTTTATGTGGCGTTGTGGGCAGAATGGGAATATTGATTTTAGCGACTAAGACTGGTTCTAGATAATGAATTTGACGTTCTTCTTCCGTTCTATAAGTTTCAGGCGCCTCTCCGAGCTTGGTCTCAAGTGCATGGTCCTCTTTCCCTTCAACCCTGCAAGGTGACGGGCTCTGGCTAGGGAGTCTCCTTTGGCCAGGCCGCAATGTGAGGTTGGTTCACCCTGGGTATCTTCAAGTGAGAGAAGCCCTTCAAACTGGTTCGATTCCTATCCTCGACGTGGAAATTTGAAGACAGAAAAAAAAAAAAAAAAAAAAAAAGGTGCAAAAAGCTCACCCCGGGCGTCGAACTTCGACGATTCCGAGGCTACGAAAAACCGCAGTTTTTGCTGACAACCATTGAGCAAGTTTGGGGAAGCCATCCCCGAGTGCACCCTGCAGTGCTGCTCGGCTGGAAACTTCGGGCTTGGGGTGGTATATAAAGCTTAAGTGGGTGAGCTGGCGGTGGAGTATGTGGTTGGGGAAGGGGCGGAGGGAGGAAGGAGTTCCTTCCCTTGATCTGAACGTTGAATGTTTGGTTGTTCTGGTTTCTTCGAGCTTTCCGAAGTCTCTAGGACGCTTGCTTGTATGGTATCTTGGCCATCGAACCGAAAAAAAAAGAACCACCATTTCCTTCTCGATACAAGTTCTTATAAGCATGGGTCCCGTATAGTCAAAACTTCGTGCTGTCTTAGCTCGACTTATCCGGTCTCTTGGTCGTGGTCGGACTCGACCAACTCTTTGATTGGGTTTCCGGTTCTTAGACGACGCCTCCCTTCATCGAACGGCGTGTCCAAGGAAGAGCTGCTCTGGTGGGTGTTACTATTTCCTTTATGGGTTGGAAGGCTGGTGGTCTGAATTGGACGACCTGTTGCTGGCGTTGGTGATAAAGGGCATCGATTGCTATCTCAGGAGACTACAGTACCCCCGTCCGTTCGGTTTTCCTTTGATAGGCAAAACAATCTGTCGGCCCTTGAATTGCCTCATTCTGTTACCACGATCCAATGCAAAAAAGAAAAAAAAAGGACACACACGTTTAACGGAGAAGACTAGGAATCGAATATATTTTCAAACGTAACATGCCATGTATTAAAGGAGATAAGGAACCTAGACGGACGCGAGATGTCGAGTGTAAAAAGGGGCAGGAGGAATGCTCTTTTATGTTGAAAGTGAGGGCGAGCAGGAATGGGGGAATGGGGGGAATGAAGTCGACAAATCGACAAGGGACAAAAAAAGAAAACGCCAGTGCCATGTGTTCGTTCTGCTGTGCTGTTGTGCTGTGGATAAAAATGCTGGGGAATATATGATGTGATGCGTGTAGTGTAACAAGTTTTTGACCAAACACCTATTTTTAGGGGAAACTGATGCCACTGCTGCTGTTCTGCTTCTGCTCCTGATTTCGCGCTCCTGCTGTTCAACCGCATGTTTCCCTTTCTGCCGCTGCCGCATGATAATGTATACTTTAACAGAGTAAGAAATATAGGACTTCGATGCTGCCCGTCCATCACGGCTTCAAGGGTAAAGGGAAAAAAAAAACTCCAAAAACGAGGGGCATGAATAAAAGGAAAACAAAAAAAAAAAAAAAAAAAAAAAAAAAAAAAAAAACCCTAAGTGTCAAAAAAGACCATGGCTCTACTCTAATCCTTCTTGTTCGCTGACTTGTGCTTCTCCAGAGCTTCTGCAAGTGCCTTGGCGAGGTCCTTCGTCTTCACCTGCACCATCCAAGTCTCCAGGCCGGAGCCTGCGTCGTTGGAGGTGGTAAGCTTGACGTACTTCTCCTCGGCCTTGTATTTGAAATCGGGAAGCACCACGCGGTTCAACGCGACCTGGCCCGTCGGCTCACGTCTCAACAATACTCGTACAGCTCCTGTAGTCTTGTGCTTCAGGAGACGAAGAGGCCCGACACCCTTAGTTGACCAGGGGCTCTTCGCCTTCTTCTCTTCACCGTCCTCCGACTCTCCCTTGCCGGGAGGCTCAAACTTCATAATCTTTGCTCGCACATCATGCACAACCGTCTCGTCTTCCTCGCCAGGTCCGCCCTCCACCAGGTTGATTTGCTCCTGCCGCGGCTCGGCATCCCCGTCGGCCGGGGCAGTATCCGTGGTAGTCGTTGGTTTAGTAGTGGCAGTAGCGGTAGCAGTAGGAGGAGCGGCAGCAGCAGCACCAGTGGCAGTGCTGCTTCCTGCAGTGTCCGAATCCGCTGTAGGCTCAGGAGTACCAGTGGCCGGGGTAGTTGCCAGGCTGGAAGCTCCACCAAAGTTGAAGGGAGAATCTGAAGCGAGAAAGTAACTCGGGTTAGCACGGTCACATTATCAGTGAGTGCCAAAGCTGAACATACTAGTGCCGTTCGTGGACGCGCCGGCGGGTGGTGCTTGAAGTCCCGAGAACAGGGGGGCCGAGGATCCATTAGCGTTACCTCCAAACAGATTTTGTTGGGGTTGTGGAGAAGCAGCCGTGAAATTGAACGTGGGTGCCGAGAGTGGCGCGGGAGGATTGGCCTGGTTACCACCAAACGTAGGAGCTTGTGGTGCGGGCGAGCCCCCCATACGTGCTCTCGCCTTTGTTGCTGCGAAGTTGGGCTTTTTGATCGGACGACCCGAGGGCGTGGATGCCGCGGGGGTGCCGCTGAAGGCGAAGGGGTTTGCGCCACCTTGGTTTCCGCTAGGCGTAGCCTGGGCAGGAGCAGCGATCGTGTTGCTGGCACCACCAAACACAAATCCTCCACTGGCCGGGGGCTGGTTAGGAGTCGATCCGCCAAAGTTGAACATGCCACCAGATGGGGGCGCGGCTGGCTTGTCCGCACCAAACTGGAAACCAGTGCTTCCCGAGCTAGTTTGTCCGCCGGGCGTGAAGTTGAAATTCATACCACCAGCAGCAGGTGTGGAGTTTGCACCGAAAAGAGATGGCGCGCTGGCATTGGAAGCAGCCGGGGTTCCACCGAAGTTGAAAAGCGGCGTGCCGTTGCCATTCGTCGATCCGGCGGGGCCTTGTGATGCACCGAAGAGCGAAGGAGCCGCGTTCGCGCCAAATGGTTTCTTCACGGGCGAGGGGTTGTCTTCTTGCATAGCATCGCCAAATCCTCTCTTGCCGGGAGAGGGTCCGTCCTGCTTCATGGGGCTACCGAAGAGAGCATTTCCAGACGTCGCCTTGTCAATCTTAGGCTTTGGTGTTTCACTACCGATTGGAGCAGCGGGGGTGGTCGTGCTGGCCCCAAAGGAGAAGGTAGGTGTTCCAGTAGGTTGACCCTGCGACGAGCCGAAGAGATTGCTGGCTCCCGATGAGGCACCGAAGAGGCTGCTAGGTGCAGGCTTTGCGCTGTTGCCGAACAGGCTACTCGTCTTAGGAGCTTCAGTGGCGGCCGTGCTAGTGGCACCAAAGAGCGGCTTAGGAGTCTCGGCGGCAGCCGGCTCAGGAGCCTTTGAAGGAGCTCCGAAGAGGCTGCTCGGCTTGGGTGCTTCGGCCGTGGGGGTAGGCTCGGCGGGTTTCGCACCGAACAACGTCGATGACTGGAACGGTGAGGCAGCGGTAGTGGAAGTCTGCGCCTGTGAGGCAAACATATTCGTCGCGCCTTGGCTCTTAGCGCCAAAGATGCTCGATGCGGAGCTTGGGCCAGCTTCGGTTGACTTCCGAGCTTCATCTGCCTTAGCAGGAGCCTTCACCTCCGGTGTCGTCGTAGGCTTGGAGAGCTCAGAGGGAGCAGACTTGAACACCGAGGTTGGGGAGGGTTGTGCGCCGGTAGTTGGCTTTGACAAGTCGAACGGAGCGGCTAGCGCCTTGGTGGCAGGCTGCGAAACATTCTCTTTATCCGACTCTCCGCCCGACTTATCTACGTCGCTAACGTCTTGGGCCTTATCCTCAGCCTTTGCGGGCTTAGGAGCGCCAAAGATGCTGGAGGTAGGTTGGCTCGGTTTAGCCGCGAAGAGGGAGCTCGAGGGCGTAGCAGCATTCCCGAAGAGCGAGGCGCCTTGCGGGGGCTGAGGCGCGAACTTGAGTGGCGAATTAGGCGTCCAGGTCTTGTTCGCGGGTAGGTCCTTGGCAGCGCTGAGAGCAGCCTGAGGAGCTGGGGCGGCCTCAGGGGTCGGCTCTTTCTCAGGCTCTTCATCATCTGTGACGCGTAGTGGCTGTCCATCAGATCCCTTCGTCACGCGATCAAAGAGGCTGCGACCGGGGGTAGTCTCTCGAGCCTCCGAGGTCGTGCTCGACGCTCCTGTGGCAAACCCGCTAATGCTAGAGGTCTTGGAACCGAAGGAATTGATTGCAGCTGAGGGAGCCTGCGACTTTGCGATGGTAGTACCGCTACCAGCTTCTTGAGTATCCTCATCGGCCTCGGATTCCGTCTCGCTCTCGGCATCGGCATCAACACCGCTGTTCTTCGCCGAGCTAGCATCAGACAGATAGCCAAAGATGTTCCCCGACGCGGTGCCCGACACACTCTTATCGAGGACGGAGCGAGCGAGGTTGCTGTCTCCAGAAGGAGCCGCGAGCAGAGATGGCTTCGCAGCGGCGGGTTTGGGTGTTGCCGAAGTAATCGAAGGAGCGGCGAAAGTGCCTGGCTTCGATGCGATCTTCTCAAAGACTGACTTCGTAAGGGACGGTGTGGTCTTTTGCTGCTTAGAAACCTGTTGGCTGTCGCCGCTGAGAGAAGCCTTCCGCTTATTCGTGAAAAGAGCGTCGGCCTGTTCCGAGTCGGCTCCCTTATCCATGGCACGTCGCTTATTGCCCGTCGACTCGATGGTCGCGCTTACGCCGTGGTCAAGATCATCATCTGCCTTGCGCTTGTTGGAGGTTTTGGCAGGTTGAGGGCGACTAGCGGCATCGTCATCGTCGTGAAGGCCATGTGCGGCTCTCCATTTTCGGAGGACTTCTGCGGACGGCCGTACGTTCTTGAACTCATAGAGGCCATAGCGCAACATGATAAGACTCCTGCTCTTCTCGAACTCTTTGGCGAAGTTCATGATGTTCAGCTTCCAGTCCTTCTTCGCGAAGATTTCATCAGCGGCATGCTTGAGTCGTCGGAGATCAAGAATACAGAAGAACTGGCGCCTTTGCAAATCGTCAAACTCCTTGGGGCAAAGGTGCGCGAGATACTGGTCAGCAAACACGGAGCCGTGCTGATCCAGATCCTTGGGCACTTCCTTGGTCAGAGCGGCGCCTGTGAGTTCGCGTGGAGGCGAAGGGATAACCATCTTGAAGAGCTCGGAGGAGGAGGTTCCGGCCATCGTTCGGCGGGGAGTAGCCTTTGTCGTCGAGTCACGGAATATCTTCTTCGAGTCGGGAGTCGCGGCGGGCGCGAAGATCTTGCGGCGTGTGGTGGTGGGGATGGAGGGATCGAATCGCGGGCCAGTGCTTGTCCCGAGACTCGATGTCTGAAAAATGTTCCGAACGTCGTTGAAGTTCTTTTGACTCATGGTGCTAGCAGAAAGGGAGTTCCCGTTAAAGGGCTTGCGCGACGAGGATGCAGTTGGCGTGCCGAAGCGCCTATTGCCCACCAAAGGAGACTCGTACGCGCGGTTCGCGAAGCCCACTGGCCTGGGAGCCCTGGGCGTGCCGTTGACTTTATCCATGTTTTCGATGGAAAATGAGTGTGAACTGGACGCGTTTATCGGAGAAGACTTTGCGGAGCCCGTGCGAGCCGCGATGGGGTGGCGACGACCACGTCTCGAATGGCCCGTGGACAATGATGATGATCGAAGAGTCCCAACAGACAGATGTGGCGATGATTGAGGAGGGGGAAGAGGTCCTCGAAGGCGACCGATTTCAATCGCGGGTATGGTCTAGAAACGTCGGAGTAATTAATTAAAAAGGTAATTCGGGAACTAAGGAACGATAAGAAGAGAATGGGAGAAAATGAGGATGGATTTCGTGATGGCGATGTGGTTGTTGGTCGCGAATCAACAAAGTCCGAGGGAGCTTTTTTTTTCGGTCCTTGTTGTTGTGCTTGGGGCAACGCTGTGGTTTTTTAGGCCAGACAAGGGGGAAGGGGATAATATTTTTTTAAGCGTGTGGGCGCCTGGGCGAGGAAGGTGGTCATCTGGTGACGGCGTGCAGACTGCAGAGGAGAGGAGGAAGGTACAACCAATGCTTCCACAGAAGAGGGACTGCAATGGTGGCATAATACCACATGGGTATCAATACTATTGTTCAGGGTCCTGCCTTCGTTCGGGCAAGCTAAAAATAGCGTAGCATTAGTATATGTACATTTTTGGTAACAGTTAGCTCTCAGAGATACCTTGGGTCGAGAGCTGCAGAATTCCACGAGAAAGTGGAAACTTACAGTACGAAAAGTGTATAAAACACGGACTCCCCTGCATGATTGTCGATTTGCTCACACTGTCTCCAGTTGTACCTCTTGTACTGCTCAAGTTTTTTTTTCTTTTCCTGCTTCGTGGATGGTTGGCTTCGTACATCTTCGGGTTAGTGCAGACACCACTCACCAGGCTACGATCGAGGACGGACCTGCATCTGGTTGTCCCAGATAAGAGAAGCCAGGTTGATGGAGGCCAACCTGTGCCTGCGCGCCTTGCGCAAGCCCCTCACCCCGGCGCATTCGAGTCAATTTTTCGCATTGTACTCTCTTCCATTGAGAGCTCGCCGCTTCTCGACTCGGAGCTCTGCAACACCTCCAGAGACAACGGACCTGACAACAGACGATGGCATCAACCCACCTAGAACGACTCTCCCTCCTCCCCTTGAACTCCCGATACGGAACCCGACCGATGGGACCTTTAGCCATTTATTCAAGCTCGGCAAGGCGTATGTTGGCTTCTACAAGACTGGGCTGAAGAACGTGTTCGTAAACCGCAGACTGCTTAAGAACAAGGTCGAAGCCCTGCCTACCGAAGACCGCCCATCTATCTTCAAGCCCCACCACATCCCTCGGGCGTTTTCGAGATCCGATTGGATACTGCTATGGAGGGTTAGACACGATATGGGACGCCTTCCAGTGTTCGCCGTTGTTGTTTTGCTCTTCGAAGAGCTCACGCCGCTGGTCGCGTATGCTTTCGAGGGTATCATGCCCCACACCTGCCGGCTGCCTCAACATCTTGAAAAGTCTAGAAAGAAAGCCGTAGCTCGGCGCAAGCATGCTTTCGAGGAGCTCGGATGGAAGAATCCCGATGGAGTCAGCCAGGCTTCTGTCGCACAGGTCCATATACTACGCAGTCTAAATCTGGTCAGCACGCTATGGGACCGCGTGGGCTTGATACCACCGGGTCTTTGGCAACTCAGGGGTCGATCTCAGGTTGCATTTTTGGAAGTAGATGATGCACTGCTTCGCAAGGCTGGCAAGCTCAGCCAGTTGTCAGCGGAAGAGTTGATGCGGGCGTGCTCTGAGCGCGGTATTGACCTGGAGCCTTCCCTCGAAGAGGCTGATGAGCGCAAGAAGGAACATGAACGGAGGCGCCTTCTTGAGCAGTGGCTTCGACTGACTGACGCACAAGAATCCGCCGAGCGAAGGCGGAGAATGGCGGTTCTGTTGACAACTAGGTCAGTATTGCCGCCGCTTTTCAACATGACCTGTTCAAGAAGGTTCCGGCCTCAATATGATCCAAAGCTAACTTAATTCCCCCCATAGACCCGAGAACTGGCCCAAGAAGCCTGACTTCGCTTTGCCTTCATGGAGCATCTGATAATTCCGCCCACTCCTATTCACGGTGTGAAGGAATCGTCTCGTCTATCTAGGGAAACCCCTTATTGACGTCGGCTCTCTGAGAGCCGATCTAGATAGCAAGTGTAGTGTTGGATAGGTCTTTGGACTACACGAACAAGCCTAGTTGGCTGGTATAAGAGTAGGGTGAGATTCTTTCTTCCACTCTGTACATATCATACAACGCGCTGTCTCGATAGATTCCCCTCTCCAGCTTGCTGATGGTAGCTTCAGCTGTACAACAGGTGGTCATTTTGAACCACTTTCCTCCGTCTACATTTTCGACGCAACATGTGTGTCCTCGATTGTGCGCACCGCTCCTAGACAAAACCCCGTGAGGAGTCGCGACACATCGCCTTTTTGCATCTCCAGCCGTACTGAATTCGCGCCGGAGTATCCGCCTCCAACTAGTGCAACTCCCCATGAATCCGGAGTACCGGGTTAGCATCAATGATTGCGTCCTTTGGTTTTGGTTATCCGCGTCTGCCTTATCCGCAGACGCCGAACTGCTAAATCTTTCGTTTCATTCGGGCTGAAAAGGCCAGGCCGAAGTATAACTTTTGCCGCAGATTCCGGTGCACATTTGCCCGTATCTGTTTTTTTTTTTTTTCTTCTTCTTATAGGTGGATCTCTGCGAAGTCTATCATGAGACCTCCACTCGGTTGGTGAACGATAGCGCGGGTAAGTGGCAACTCGTACTTGGTCTGCAAACTTCAAGGTTCTTCCTCTATCAATGGAGCTTGCGCCAAACACCAGACTACTGCATCAATTTGATCAAATTAGATGTGCACGACCCTCTCCTTCCAACACCAACAAATGCCCTTTTTCTTATTGCTACTTTGTAGTCTACTTGTGCTGCGTAGTGAACAACTAGTATGGCCTTACTTGATCTTGATGCTACTGACGCGCTAAGCCTTGCTCTAATACCATTTCGGCATGCCCAGTTCAGTCTATCCAAAGCGACTCCGATTACGACCAGACTAAACCCGCGAAATCTCTCCCGCTCTTTATATTCTTCAGTGTTCTGTTCTCCCTCCCCACGCCTGTACGAGGTCCCCATCTTGGCGCGGAATCAATGGACATTACTTCGTAGATCCTCGGAAGATCTTCGGCCAACGGGTATGTTCTCCCACCCCCAGGAACGTAAACCAATAATGTAACCCGACACCAGGGTCTTCTTAATTGCCAACTCTTCAAGGACATTAATAGTGGATTAGCATTAATGCACATCGCCCAAGCATCTGTCCAGGCCATTCAATCAATTGATCAATGAAAGCCACGAGAACCCGACAGGTACTTGGAGAGGACGCCCTTTCCCTGTCTTCTGAAATGTACTTCGTACTGTATGTCCAGCCAGGCTGTGGACTTCGTACGAAGTAGTGGAGTGTGCTGGGGTACAGGTGGTGTACTTCGTATTTTGTATATACCACCGCGTGGTGCAATACTTCCGTAGCACCAAGCAGTAGCACCAAGCAGGAGGCTTGTCTGCTCTTCTGCCCACACTAGCGTACGCATACATCGACGTTCTGCTAGGCCTAAGTACCTCGTGGTATCATTACGATGTTTATCCCAAATCTCAGAGGCTCATCCATTCATGGATTGGATTGTACTTCGTCTTCGTAATAAGAATTAGTACAGAGTACGAAGCACTCGCGTCCTTGAATGCATCAATATGTTCGGTTGGGCTCTCGAAGGTTGATGTACTTGGTCCCCCCCCTGTAATAATGGCCCCTAGTCAGGTCACTGTATGGTGTGACTTGGATGGGGTGATATCGAAATCACCTTATTTGTTATAACCAGATAGAATATAAATTACCTCATAACAGAACAGTATGGTATTCCCCATAGAAACCTGTTTCCCAACCTTTTACTTTCTAACATTTTCAAACCTCAAGAAAAAAAAGAAACCAATGCTTCAACACCGAAGACATCTCACCAACGCGGATAGAGCGCGCGTACGAACCCTCTATTTTGATATAGCCGCCATCAGATACGCACTGCTCTTGACTCTGCTCTTGTTAAAGCCCGCCCTGGCCGCCCACACCTCATGACGCGGCAGCAGGAAGATGAACTTATTGCTTTCATCTCATCTTCTTCTGAGCGCCGCCAGATGACCTTCCTTGAACTCTCACGTACCCTTTTCGATGGTCAGTTTGGTGTGGATACAATCCGCGGGACACTGAATCGACGTGGTTATCGCAGATATCCTGCAGTTCGCAAGCCCTTTATATCTGAAGAAAACCACTGCAAGCGCCTTCAGTTTGCTTATAACCACCTTAACTGGACTGCTGCGCAATGGGCTGAAATCTTTTGGACTGATGAAACGTGGGTTGCTGGGAGACGCCATCGAAAGACCTGGATTACACGCCGCATTGATGAAGCCTATAATCCAACCTGTGTGGCACGCAAGGAGCGGCGATGGGGAGGATGGATGTTCTGGGGTTCTTTCACAGGAATAACACAAGGTCCAGGGCTCTTCTGGGAAAAGGAATAGCACAGCATCACAAGTGAGTCTTATTGTGAGCACATCGTCCTCGTCATCGATGATTATATCTCCCGCACACACTTTCAAGGTCGGAAGCTAGTTCTTATGCAAGATAATGCCCCTGGCCACCATGCCCGAGCAACACTTCGTGAAATCGCAGCGCGTGGAATAGAAGTCATCGATTGGCCACCATATTCACCAGATCTGAACCCAATCGAGACCTGCTGGGACCATATGAAGAACTTCATCGACCAACACTTCGCAGCAGAGCCAAAGCCATCATATCCAACCCTTCGCGCTTGGGTATTAGAAGGATGGCAGTCAATCGAGCCCGAGTTTTGGCAGAAACAGATGGTAGTATGCCATTGCGTATGCAGGTAGTGATTGATATAAATGGAATGTATACTAGTTTTTGATAGATTAAAATAGTACTTATTTCTTCCTAGTTAATTCACTTTATTTTCAGGTACCTTTCTAATGTGACTAAAATACCCTGTACTTCTAGCCTAGTCCTTATTTGGACTGTGGCAAAGTGACCTGACAAGGGGCCATTATTTACCCCTGCGACCTCCGTAGTATTGATTAATCCTCAATTCAATCTTCTTACACCATCGAGGTGCTAAGCCGGGTACTGGGATGGAACTAACAAGCAGGAAAAGGGGGGGAAGAGATCGAGACTGTCCTAAGCCAGTAGTAACCAGGCCCTGCCATGGCACCCCACACGCGGGCTCTTTCTTTCATCGTCCTCTTGCCCGTACACAGGTACGAAGTACTTCGTACTTCTTCGTCCCATCCATGCCCCAGCTCAGCACCAGCCAGGCCCTTCCAGTTTCCCAGTTTCCGGTTGTTTTAGGGGGGGTTTTCGGCGTGGCTAGAAAGTTCGCGTGGTGGATATTATCCATCGGTCATCCTCGATCAACCCCATTGATTCATTAACCTTCGAGTTTTCTTCCCACGCCGATATCTGGACCAGTCTTCTCTTTCTTCTAGCATCTTTTCTTCATCCTTTCGTCCTTTCGTCCTTGCTTTTTTGTGGGCATTTTAATTGTTTAATATCTCATGTATTGCTTCATGTTCGTTCATTCCTTCCTACTAGCAGCATCTAGCAATTACCTCGTACTTCCATATTCCACTTGCATTTTCTTGTGCTTCCCATCTCATTAGCCTATCGACCCCTTGCCCTCCAGCACAGGTGCACGCGATTCCCCACAATTGCATCAATACCTCGTACACAGCCCATCCGCCGCGTGCCTCAACCAGTCTCGACCGGTCCTCGCCCTCGTCCGACCCTCGACTCAGACCTCCCTCGTCGAGCTCTCGACCCCGACCTAACGGCCAAGTCTGAATCACTTGTCTGGCACAAAACCAACGTATTGGCCCGTTCTTCCAACCCCCCCAAGTCGGCATTCCCCCATCGAGCCCCCCGGTGTTGAGCTGCAACGATGGCTGGAATAGTGAGCAAGCGCCAGCAGGCGCGCAACGAAAAGGTCCTTCAAGAATTAGTTCAGAAGGTTCCAGGAAATAATGTGTGCGCCGACTGTGCCGCAAGAAACCCAGGTAATTTCTCACGCTGTGCGACAATCTGGCGTAGTGCCTTGGCTGACTTGTCCTCCCTTTCCTCCAGCTTGGGCTTCATGGAGCGTATGTTGTCTCGGAGACTTCCCCACACCTTCCCGCTGCACCTACCCGACGCAAATCGATCCCGCGAACTTGTACTAACAAACTAATCGCAATACTAGTTGGGCGTCTTCTTGTGTGTCAGATGCGCAAGCCTCCACAGGAAGCTAGGAACCCACATTTCCAAGGTCAAGTCCTTGAGTATGGATAGCTGGACAGTCGAGCAAGTCGAGGTCAGTCACGACCTCCATGATCCCTCTCGACAATGGTTGTTGCGCAACCGCCTTTTTGGCTTCGACCGCGTTGTTCGGGCCGTGGCTGACATTGCTCTCTGCAGAACATGAAAAAGCTCGGCAATGTTGCTTCGAATAAGATCTATAACCCTCAGAATAAAAAGCCTCCCATCCCTGTAGACGTAGATGAGGTTGACTCCGCCATGGAAAGGTTCATCCGAGCCAAATACATTTCTAACAGCCTCAGTGGAGGCAATAAGAAGGGCGGCATCTCGGCTAGCATTTCCATCGAGGAAACACCACCACCCCTTCCCCCCAAGGGCAAGTTCGGTCTCCGATCCGCCTCGTCACTGTTCCCCCTCTCATCCAAGTCGAAGAAACAAGTTCCTTCTCCGGATGTCCTATCCCCCACAAGAGAGCATTATCGGAGACCTCCTTCTCCGCGTCTGGTGAACAAGCCGTCGCAGGTATTTGGTGCCACGATCGAGTACGAAACGGGGGATACAGAGCATAAGTTGGGCAGACTACGTGACATGGGTTTCATGGACAATTCGCGCAACGCTATGATTTTGAAGGGCGTTCACGGCAATCTCGAAAAGGCCATCGAAACTTTGATTCGCCTCGGAGAAGGCGGCTCGCGATCACCCTCCTTGGCATCCCCTCGAGAAAGCTCCCTTCGCGCCACTCGATCTTTGACACCCCTCTCCCCGAATCCCGTTGCAACGACGAACGGCCGAGTCGCCCCTGCGACACCTCCTGCCGCGTCTACGAACCCTTTCGACATGCTCACTCCACAGCCGCAAACTGCGCAGTCGACCGGAACTCTGCAGAATAGGAACGCCAATCTTGCGTCGACAAACCCGTTCGGTCACCCCACGAACCAGCTAGATCCCTTCAGCCAGGCATTCCAGAACATGTCCCTCGCAGCACCACAGCAACCCTTATTTCCCAACCACACTGGCGGGATTCCTCCCCAGCCCGCACAAGTTGGTTACAACCAGCAAGCTTCCATGCTGGCCCCCGCACCCGCACCCGCACCCGCACCCGCACCTATAGCTTTCAATAACAATCAAACCTATCCTCAACTTCAGCCGCTCCAGATTCAGCAGATCTATCCTCAACAAACCGGTCTCTCGCCCGCATCGGCCCAGTCCACACCAGGCCTCCCATACAACTACAACCCTTTCTTCTCGGACCAAGCGCAAGTGCAGGCCCAAACACAGGCACAAGCACAGGCACAGGCACAGGCACAGGCACAGATGGCATCACAGCAACCTCTGGCTGTCAACACCATGATCACGCCTGGTTTTGGAAGTAACCCTTTTACGCGGTCGCCGACCCGCATTCAATCTCCAACTCTCAGCCAGATCCCTGAACGGTCGCAGTATGTCACGACCCCGTCACAACCGACGAATCCTTTCTTTTCCCAGGCACAATACCCGCAAGCGTCGCCTGCTATGCAGCCAACACAGGCATACGGTCAGAAGCCAGACAAGGCCTCCATTCTTGCCCTATATAACTATCCACAGCTCGCCCCACAACCCATAGCGGTAGCACCGCAAGAACAGCAACCAGTGCCGGCTGCAGCGGTCTATGCCACCCGTCCTGCTGGCCTTGACCCGCAACAACCGCGGAGTGTCTCCACACCTCTCCCAGGCAACAAGAACCCATTTGCTCTGAGCAATGGAACAACATCGCCTTCCGCAGCATCTCCTTTGCCAACCAATGACATCTTTTCCAATGGCCTCGGCCCTGGGAGTCGCGAGAGCATCGCTCTTGGCATGGACATGGCAAGTTGGTCCAAGAGCGGACGTCACAGCCCAGATGCTTTTGCTAGCCTAAGCGCGAGACACGCGTAAGGGAAAAGAGGGCAGGTTTGTCGTCTGTGTACATAACGTTTCTTGTTTCCCTGTATAATAGTCTTACACGGCTTTTTTTTTTTGCCCTTTCATTATGTCTTCATATTGCATGGTTAATAATGCCTCCATTTTTCATTTTCATGCTTGGACAGGACACTGTTATGTAGATTGGACCTGGTGTCGAGGGTGGATATTGAGACGACCATGGCCACGGTGTAAGTTGCGACGTTTAATAGTTCAATGTTATGTACAAGACAATCCTTTCTGCGCTATATACGGCACGATCCCTCTTGACAACCCTTGCTGATTCCAAAGGCCATACATTTGGCCAAACGGCTAAAAAGCATACCTGTACCTTACGATGCCTCTGGTCTCAAAATGAACTCCTCGAACGCTACCCCATCGGGTAAACCGCTCGCATCGACACGCGCCACCTCGTTCCATCCCTTCAGTAAGCTCCTCCAGTAGCAGGTCTCCGCGGCCTTGCTCACATATCCCCCTCCGACGAATTGGTCGCGCTGACGCGCAGCAATACCCTCAGCAACCTCTGGGTGATCCTCCAACCACGCGACGGTCTGCTTAAGATCTGACCAATCCGGCTTCACGAAGACGATATTTGCCGTTTCGGGGCCAATATCAGCCGGCCACACCTCGCGTGTCCTCTCCGAAGGGTACGCCCTTGGGTTTTCTTTTATCTCCCTTTCTAGGGACGAGCGTCCGCGCAGCAGGACGGTAGAGTAGACGGGTCGGAGGAGGTGGGTCGTCGGCTCGAACCATTCCAGCGGCGGGGTGAGGATGACGCTGCGGCACATGCGGTGGAAGGAGAAGCGGCCGCTGTAGGAAACGCCCTCGGTGTGGATGATGTACTTGTACCGGCAAAAGTCTTGGATGGGTAACCCGTTGGCGGCGGAGGCGGAGTTGGTGGTCCAGTTTAGGGATTGGACGTCGGCCCACGACGAGACCTTGGAAGGGGAGGCTACGCGGACGAGGTCCTGTCGGAGATTGGGGTTCGGGCCGAGCGGGTTGGAGAACCATGGGGTGCCGCGCCACACGGCGCGGCTGTCCTTCTTAGAGAAGGGGAGGGTCGATTCGAGGTTCGTGATAGTGGAGGAGGCGGCTGGGAGGGAGTTGAGGAATGGGAGGGCCCAGGACCAGGCGGAGAAGTGGGGCATGGGGAAGGAGTGGGCTTTGGAGGTGGAGTAGGTGGAAGAGGAGTGCGCGTGGCCGGGGCGGGCGTAGACGAAGCTTTTTGCGATGGGGGAGTCATGGATGGATAGGGAGAAGGTTATGTTGGGGAGGGGGGTCGGAGAGGAGGTTATTGCGCGGTAGATTTGGTGGAGGGCAGCGAGTTGTCGCTGTATAGAAAATGCACATTAGAAGTCGGTAGCTTGAAGAATGAGTGAGATTATGGTAGAAGAGGAGCAAGGAGACGCACCTCTTTCATGTGCCTAGAGAGCTGCCCCTTGCCAGGCGGCCTTCGAATATACAGATCCCCGCCTCTCACTGTCCCTATCAGCGCCTTACTGTTCTCCACATTAACGTCGAACGGGCCGTTGGCGACAGCTCTATCAATCTCGTCCATGAGGCCTGGGAAAGTATCGCGACATTCCTTTTCCGTGAGTCCGAGGTCGTCAAGCGTCGCAAGCGACACTGCGCCGAAGACCTTGGGGGATGAACGGGTGTTGGTTCCTCGGCCGTAGCGGTTGGAGGAATTGTCACTCAGGAGGAAATAGTAGATGAAGGCGCAGAAGGCGACGGCGAGGAGGAAGGGCCGCGTGAGGGGACGTCGGCGTGGAGGACGAGGGGCCATAACGGCTCGTGTGAGGAGCTTGGACATGTCATGGTAGATTTGGCGTCTTTACTTCTGGGAGTCTAGAAATCATGACTTGGCGATTGGGGGGGCACAGGTATATATTAGGCCCAGACGTTGGAAAAGGGTTGTATCAAGTCCCCATCTCCCCGGAACAGGATGTTGGGAGACGTGTTAGAAATAGAGACCAGAGCAGTCTTATAGTGGCCCTTACCAGGCAATCTATAGATCTGGTAAACTACAGTGGAATTCCAAGCAGCCCCAGTAAATGGAAATCCGATACAGGTTGCTAAGGATTCCTAAGGATTCATTATACATCTCAGTATGAGACCGGATTCGAACACCCTATCATTTCGGTAAGAGATCAAGGATATGAAGCCAAGCTATCGTACATAGTGCATAACACTGTACCAAAGTCTTGACGGTACAAGCAGTCCAGCTCTGGGCCGACTGGCCCGGTAACTGTCCCCAGATCCGGGTGCGGTCCGTCCGGCATTGCAGGCCAGCGGGCTACGAACCGGATTCTCAAACATCGGTCGACGGGTGTACACAGTGGGGCGAGTGGATGCGTAATTGGACCGCTTCGTTAATATAGCAGTGGAAGGAGGTGCGCCGAATCTCCAAGCTATAGGTGGAAAGATAAACTGTGTTCGTTTCGGTTCCGCCAAGCGGTTAATTTGTCGACCGATTCTCCATGCCCAGCTTACGACGTTAATGCTTCAATGCTGGTGTATCATTTCGATAAAATACCAGTGCTGATATTGTGCGGGGTACAGAAACATTGGCTCGATGCTACAGTGGAAAAGGAGGATCTTGTCCCGATTCTAAGCCAATTTGTGATCGAAGTCTGTGATAACCTCACGACAGTAAGCGAGGGGAGGAGCGAGTCTGTGCTGGCCCAAGCCGACCAACCCCGTTTACATAAGCAGAACACCAAGACAGACCTCAAACCTCCTTCCACTTCACCTCGATTGTTGAATCATGAGTGCTTTCGCGAGTCCTTTTATATGCAGCCAGGACACTTCTCTCCTCAACGTCCACGAGCCTGGGCAGACCCGGGAAATCTCTACATCTTCGGCTCCCCTCCGTACTTTCCTACCCAGACTCCTAGTTGAGCCGATGGACAACCGAGCTCGCCATCAAGGCCCCAATCGATCATCTGCCTCCCTCATAAAGCCGGAATAGGTAGATCAACTCATTTTTAAACAGTCACGGGAGCGCCATGACCACGAACCTTACGAACGTCGGCCTGGATTGAAGTTTGACAGATAAAACGCTCAGGGCCAGGGGGGAGGCACCATCTGTCGATTCTCGTCCGTTGCACGAACAGAATCGGGCTTGATCACGGTTGCATGGGTCTTTGCCCTCTTCGGGTATCTGAAATTGCCACTTTCGTGATTCGGCCTGATTTGGACTCCAAAAGGATGAGCGAGTCCCTGCGAAGCCCTCGTCTCGGGTTCTAATGTTGCACAGCAGCACAGGTTTACCAAGATTCACTCTGCCCCATCACCTGCCAAGCGTATCTAGTCAATAGTTTTCTCGCCAATGAGTTACATGGATCAAGATGAAATTAAAACAATGCGAAGAAAGGACGACAACAGGAAGGACAAATCTTCAATCCGTCGCCATTCAGCTTCGTCCTCAGCTTGAGCCCGATTGGGTCTATTGAAGGGGCTGTGACTGCTCGAGCTGAGCACACCTTCTATTTCAAGCCGCCGGAACATGACGAACCGTCGACGCCAGTGACATTATGTGGCTTCCGAATGCTGTCTTTCTCTCAAAGATCTCGACGGGGATGAAGCAGAGTGGTGGCATATGATCATTCAGATGCAGTCTCTACATTGCGTCGAGCATAACGGTCCAAGACAGAGAATCCTTCACCGCAATTTCTACAGGCCACAATTGCTTTTCTTCTCTTCCCACGTCTCCGCCCCTTCTGCAACATCCGCCGCTTCTAGGGGACAAAAAAAAGGAGAAAAAAAGAATATTTCTCGTATTAATATCAGAAGTTCCTTTTGCTGCGAACAACCGCCAAAAATAGTCTCATGTGGTGGAGATTCCAAGAGGGTGCATTGCCTTTTTAGTACACCTGCACGCAGATCTTGGGGCCCAAATTGCAGGCATCGAATGGCAGTTGTACAGTCTAGAAGTTGAAAGAATTTGGTGTTCGTCTATCTCAAAGGTGATGCAAGAGTGTCTCGCAGTCTTTTTTCCCCTCTCGGCTTTCGGCGCTCGAGGTTCGAGACTAGGGTTCTGGTTGAAGGAGGTTTGCACTTCTACTTCGAGGACGAGCCTACTTCGTCGAAAAGTGCAAGATTTTTGCTCTTCTTCGGTCCCGAAACCGAAAGGAGAACACTTCGCCTTTTTGCCTCCCTTACTTCGTACTATCGGAGGTGACCGGGTTGGCAGTTTCGAAAGAAGAGGATCGGCAAGTCTATCCGTCACTCGGCCAACTTCTCTAATACCCAAAAGGTTGCTCTACTTTGAGGATCTGCCGCATTGGGCGAAGCTGTGTCGATAAGTTGGCTTCACATCCTCATTGCTCACCTATTCACCCAATCCCCTCTGCAGTGCGACCCCAGTCTTGGGCGATGCTATTCAATCTTTGCGCTACTGATAGCATCAAATGACCCATCGTTTCCGTCAGAAGTCTTGCAATACATGGACGCATACTCACTTTATCCTCGTCCTTTGGCACGATGGCAAAGGGGCATCACTGGAGAGGGAAGATTATCATACATGCATGGGACCGCACCCAAGGCCCGCATTCGGAAACGAACACCGCAATCCTTTCTATTAATGGAGTGGGCTAGGCCTGTTCCAGATTGCGGGATGCAAGATGGCTGATATCACCGCTGACATGTGCTCTATCACCGACTTCGCCGCTCCCTATTAACTCATGGGAATACTAGATCTTGGTACCCTGGACGGAATCTAAGGATGGCGATATTATGAGCCGTGCTGGCCATGGGAGGGCCGGTGACAAGCGGACGGGCTGAGTAACTGTGCTCAAAATTGTCCTGTATTACCCACGATCCTCTCCACGTACTCAAGTGGATCTACACAAGCGCCAAGGGCTGCGAGATGCAGCGCAAACATGGGATGTCTGACTCCTATCACGGCTGCTAGGAGCCTCCCTTCCATTTCCATCCTCCACCAAAAGCCTTCGTGGTCCCTATGAAACCGAAGACATGCAGCTACTATATGTTGGCCGGTTTGAGTGCACCGGCCATGCCTTCACATTCTTTTGTACGAAGTGCATCCTTACCGCCGTTGATTCGTTGCTATATTGGGAGTGCCGACTGGCCCACAACCCCGGCGCCATCGGGTGCATTGGATGACACTAGTCCTGCAGGTATGGAATGAGGACCGGGATATGGGTCTGGCAAGGCCAAAATATCCCGAGCCAATGTCATCTTATCTGACCAGCTCTCCATACCGCTCGTTTTATTCGTCCTCGATGTGAAGACGGCGTCCGTGAGAACGACGAAGGAGACTCTCCAAGGCGCCTTCAAGTGGGTTTTCTCCGCCGGGCGTGTCTCCTGCGCGCGCGACTTTTCATTTTCTTCCCAGCCTTGCGTTTGCGGCCCAGTGTCATCATTTGTACTGCGAAATACGGACTATTTTTCATGCTTTTTGGACCCTGATTCACATCAGCTCTCTTGGCGTTTGACCCCTAGTTTTCTTGCTTTCAAACCGGCGTAATGTAAGGAATAACGAACGGCATGACGCGAACTTAACGCTGACCGCCTGTACAGCCACGTCAAAGATACGAGTCAGGCCAAGTCTCATCACTCCCAAGCATTGAATGCGGCTTGCGGCGTCCTAGGCATGGGCGGAAGTCCCTACTTTTCGGTGCGTGCAGCTTACCTCCAATCTCCGATCTGTTGTGTCGAAGCTGAAATAGGATATACTTTACCAATTTTCGCTTCGCCCTCGCCCAATGAATTTCATCTCCCTTCCATGCCCGTCACTATGACGTCCACTCATGTACTGCCGGGTCGAGCACTCGCCATGTAGGTCCACGTCCGTGGCTGCATCTCGTACTCTCATCTTGACTTATTCCTTTCTGCGTCCAACTGCGGGACCTTGCGTCGCGTAGCTGCAGACTTTCGCTCCACGCAACCTCTGCAGAATACATTTAGTAGATTAGAGGAAAGGCATGTACTACTTTGCATGTCGAATTTGGATACGTTATGCATAATCTTTGTTCCTGAGTGGATGTATCTTCACCTTACATCACACGTTAGCTATCACGAAGAGCAACAAGCGAACTCTTGCTTGCCTGTGTTGGTCCCGCAGCAGAAACGCAAAAGAACCTGGGCGCAGGGTCATTTGGCTAGCGTCCTTCTTGCCGTTTCCCATCAGCCCAATTATCCATCCCCTCACTTAGGGTTCCCATCTAGAAAGCCCAGGCCAGTACCAACGCGGCTGTTGGACGCCGAGTGAAGCACCTCCTGTCATCCGCATCTCTTACTTTGCCCTGCCATCAACCTCAGCTGGAATCCGGGAATGTCGGCCCCGCCTATGAGTGAAGGCAAGCTTGATATTCTTCGTATCCGAGTGGCTGCAACCATTCATCAACTCTGATTTCCGCTTCCCGATCCCCGTTACCATCTTGGCGTTTTCTTTTTGCTCCCAATCCTGGTCTGATGAAAAGAACGGACATCCGGGGTACATGTATGCCACGCTAGGTGAGAAGATGCCAGGTTCTTCCAGGGTTCTCGTGGTGAACATCGTCTGCTACTAGTCATACCCCCACCTTACAACCTGCATGGCCCACTTAAGATGGGCCGGGAACGCATTAGGGAGGAAGCAGCAATACCCCAGTTCTCCGGAACGCCTCCCATCTTCTCAGACCACCTTTAGACTTGCAAATTCCGAGATAGGGTGAGTTATCCCTGCTGCTATGACGGGTGGAATGTCGCTAGTATGCCTTCACATCCTGCCTAGGCCTGGGCCTCACCGGCATGAATCGGCCGGAAAAGACCCATGGGTGGGACATACTCTAATCACACAGCAAACGCCAGCCTTCTGGAGCTTGTGAGCTGGCTGTGAAGATGCCGCTCTTATACCCCTTGGTAGACGCACCTTCGGGAGGAGAAAGAGTATATATTGTGGGTGGGATTTCCATTCGATAACGCCCACTTCTCATCCTTGCTCATCGAATCATGGTTTTGGGCTAATCTTCGTTGATTTCGCACATTCTTTTCGTGAGGCTCGACGGCATTTGAGCCCTCGATAGTCGCTCTTTTGACTGCCCTTCTTAGTTCATTTTCCCTTTGCAGTATAGCCAGGCCCATTCTCGCGTCCGTTTTACTACCTTGGTATACAATCCTCTCGTGATACCCTGTATATCTTAAATTTACCCCATCCCGCCAAAAGCCATGAGAGGGCCGGCCTTTGGCCTCCTGCTTCCCGGCATCTTGGCCGGTGTAGCATCCGCTGCTACCGTCGAATATGATTGGGACATCACCTGGCTTAACGCCGCACCGGATGGCTTCCAGCGGCCTGTCATCGGCGTTAACAACCAATGGCCCTGCCCGGAGATTCGGGCCACCAAAGGCGACACCATCCGAGTCAAGATGAACAACAAGCTAGGAAACCAGACCACGAGTCTTCACTTCCACGGTATAAACCAGGTCAGCACGAACTGGATGGACGGGCCTAGTTTGGCTACTCAATGCCCTGTGCCACCGGGCGAAAGTATTGTGTATGAATTCTTGGTGAGTCGTACCTCAGGATAACACTCTTGGAACAGTTTCTAATGCCTTTCTCACTTTGTCGCATGCCATAGGCCGACGAAGCTGGGACGTTTTGGTGTAAGTGGAGACAGCTGTTTTCATCTCGCCATGATAAAAAACTGACATTGGGTTTTTCGTAGGGCACTCTCATAACATGGCACAATACCCCGACGGACTTCGCGCGCCCTTGATTATTGAAGACCCAAATGATCCGTACAAAGACGAGTATGACGAAGAATACATCTTGACGATCTCGGACTGGTGAGAACGGCGTTCGATTTGCCTCTTCCGATGAGAAGCCAAGGACTAAAAGAACAACACACAGGTTTCTTGAGGAAGCCCTGATTTTAGGAAAACGCCTCCTCAGTTCCAACAACACCTTCGGCGCCCCGCCCGCCCCCAACAGCATCTTGCTCAACGATGGTCAAGGTGCAGACTACCCATTCGAAGTCGGCAAGAACTATCGCTTCCGAATCATCAACATGGGCGCATCCAACAATGCCATGATACACTTCGACTCCCACGACATGAACGTCATCATGAACGACGCAGCCTACGTACAGCAAGAAATCGCCTACCAGCTCCACGTCACGCCCGCACAGCGCTACGACGTCATCATCAAGGGAATAGAGCGAGATAACCGCAATTTCGGCATTCTTGTCTCGCTCGACCGCAACCGTGATTACACCGCGGTTACGCCCAAGCCTGTGTGGCCCCTTAATGCGACGGCATACTTGGTCTTGGATCCAGAGGGCGAGAGGCGACCTGATGTGGTGGATGTTTGGAGACCTTTCGATGACGCGCATTTTAAACCGCTCCAGGGAGACATCTTGCCGCCTGCGGATAAGACTTTGGTTTTCAACTTCCAGACTTGTAAGGATAAGTACGGAATCGTCCGGTATGTTGAGTCGTCTAAATTTTATCTGAAATGATCATTCCTGGGAAACTAACACCAAAGCGAAGACACTGCGTCAACGGATCTCCCTATGTGCCTGCCAAGGTTCCGACTCTCTACACAGCCGCAACCACTGGTAACTTCAATACCAACGAGACCGTATATGGTGCTGTCCATCCATTCATTGTTTCCTACGGAGACATTGTTGACATTGTCGTAAACAACCACGACGGAAGTATTCACCCCTTCCATCTCCACGGCCACCATTTCCAGGTCCTCAGCCGACCCCAGACAAACGGCGGTGACTGGCCCGGCCCCGATCACGCCGGGGGGTACAATCCAAAGCCGCCCAGGAGAGATACCGTCAATGTTTTCCCAAAGTCTCACGCCGTGCTCCGATTTGAGGCGAACAATCCCGGTGTATACCTCTTTCACTGCCACATTGAGTGGCATGTTGAGATGGGCTTGACGGCCACCATAATTGAGGCGCCGGATATGCTGAGGGATATTACCATCCCGAAGGACCACATCGAGGCGTGTAAAAAGGCGGGTGTACCTTTCGAGGGTAATGCGGGAGGAAATGTTGAGGATCCGCTTGATACATCTAACATCGACTATGAGCCTCCGCTGGAGTATGTTGGGTGAGTAGCCACATCAGTTACTGACATAAATGCTGTTTTGGAAACAAGATCGCTAACGAGTGAGTTTAATAGTGCGCAATGGACACCCACATCCCCTCCCGCCTGCCGTGTGAAGCGCTCGCGTATCGGAAGGCTCTTGTAGTCTCTCGGGTAAGAACGGTTGTTATATCACGGCTATTTCTTTGTTTCTATTTCCTTGCCTCTCGCCAGCCACCCCGCTCTTATCCATGTGTTGAACAATCAGTATGCTGGGCTTGCTATCAACACTCGTGGAGCACTTTGATGCGGATGCTTATACCTCGAGTGTGGGTCATTGCCGCTCCCCAGCATCTGGAAGTCTGGATATAAACTACTCACTGATTTCACTTAGTATTGTTTTTTTTTTTTTCCCTACCTCTCTTCCGTCTTCTATTTTAAAGCATCTGGTAAGAGAAGGAGTTAATGAAACTAATGCGTATTACACACTGGCATCCAATATCTCTGCGGCCACATTACGTGAAGGGTATCTCGGAATCATACTTTGATACTAGAGGTTGTGAACCGCTCCTCTGTCATCGCCATCGATGGAGGATCGATCAAAATCCTCACTCGTCGCTCATACGTAATGATCTAGTGATAGGTTACACTGGAAAGAATACAAGTCACGCTCCTATGTTATAACACGAGTGGTGTTATGGGAAGAAAGGCCAATAGCGGCCAAAGATTCTTTCCGAGGGTTTTGGTAGTAGTGCCTTAGGATTCGGCAGATCGACATCCCCGAATTGACCTCCGACGAAGACTGCTTAGACGAAATTCTTGATAATCGGTGAAACTCCAGAATCCTCTGGAATGAGCATGAAAGTTATTGGTTATGCTCGTTATGCAGGTAGACCTCGTTGTCCGGAGCCGATGTGTTTTCCACCGACTTCCTCTGGTCCTGTATCCCGCCCCGTTGACTTACTGCTGGAGCGATGGAGGCCACATATCAAAGAGCACTGCATCAGGCTCATCTCAAAATTAGATAACTGAAATACCCACAACGAGATGTAGGCGACTGCTCAAATATTCTCTTGTCACTCTCTTTCGCCGATGAAGTAGTCATGCGCAATGGGACACCTGGAATTGTGCGAAGGGGAAAGGGACCGTCCCATTTCTTTCAGTCTGGTGGTAAAGCAGTAGGATTTCCAAGGCTCAGTTGAAATCCCGGATAAGGCCGCAGGACAGGCAGCATTCAACACAACCTGGCGTTGCAACGTGGTGCCTTCAGCTATAGAAGCAACATGGAGTTCGGAGTAAGTTGTTGTGAGGGGAACACCAGTCTCCACCCCTAACTGCCCTCATCCGGTCAGCAAAAAGGACCGATATCGTACGTTCTGTAGTAACACACGACGCTGATCTTAGCCATGCATCTCAGGCAACACTGGATAGGGCAGAGGGTATCCCGAAGTAGCCTATGTTGGAGACCTGGTAGTGGCAATACAGAACAGCAGGGGATGTGAGAGCGGGAGCCAAACACAGACCGATTCTCTGTATATCTGATGATTTCACGGCAGGAAGGGATAAGATGACTAGAGCTGCAGTCATTCCTAAGGAGGCCTACGGGTAGTGGAGGACGGTACCAAATACGGCTCAGCCTCTCCGCTCTCCGGGGAGAAGTCCGGACTGGTGGCGCAGTGTGCTTCCACAGATAAAGCTGGCGGCAATAGGCGCCCAGCGTGCGGCGCAGACAAAGGATGATACGAATGAGCTGGCACCTCTTGGCTCACCAAGCCTCAAGATACAGTTCCAACGTCGACGTCTTGATAAGAAAAGTCTTTCAGTTTTGGACATGCGGGGCAGTAAAGAAAAAGAAAAAAAAAAAGCTCGTAAATGTGAGCTGTAACATTATGCGCCTTGGGAATGATACGGACTTCTCAGGGGCGGAAGACACAGCCGGACCCTTCCATTTGCACATGAGCTAGGTGTAGGTGAGAAGGTCAGAATGCAAAGCTGGGCTATGATAATTAGTTGGGGCGAGGGTGGTTCCACTTCCTTGGCAGTCCCCTGGTTTAAGCGAACCCTTCGGTTAGTTACTACAGACCGGTCGATCATAGTATCATGAACGCTGCACGGAGCGCGCACAAAAGTTCTACAGCGAGAATAAGAGCCGTTTGGCCGGGTCCAAATGTACGGTTGGTGCCGTGGAAATCACGTTGAACACGGCGGAGGAATATGCGGGCACGGTCTAGCACGTCAGCGATCATCCGGACTTCCGGGCGGCGGTAGAGTCTTGGTGGTAACCTGGGTGGAGGAAGCACGCCAAGGTTATTACTGCCGTGGAACAAGACTGTCCTCAAGGTGTGGGTGCTCACGGGTCAGAGAGCCCATGGCACACCCGGCAAAGCCCTGCCGGATAGATCAAGAGACCCAATATTGAGGATATTGACATCCACATGAAGAACTGCGAGAGTCAGACAAGCACACCATTATTATAGCAATGGGGTTTCATGAGCGGGTATTTGCGGTCATCCTATTTGTCCGCCGTGTGGAACCTAGCACGGCTTGACAAGTCAGACAAGAGGCACCGAAGCCGAAGTAACTTGCAGCGGGAGAGTGCTTGCTGATCTGCGAAGGTGTGTACAAAGGCCTGTGGTATTCACCCTCGAAGTTCCTTGATAGTTGGAGATTGTCACAAGCTCCGGCTTGCCGTTCGAGTCGGGGGATACAAGCCCACAGGTATGAGAGAAGAACTTGAGCCCTGGCCCGTATTCAGGAATTTGTGCTTGAAAAAATTAACTAGCCCTGAAGAGTGCAAATATTGGTCCCACGCGGACTGCGTTTGATGATATTGGGAATCCGGGGCGACTGCCACGATGAATGATTAGAGGGCTACATGAGAGCTAAGATAGACGACACCCTATGCCGCATGAGCCCGGATGAGCCCGGACGAGCTCCCAAAACATTAGGGATGGATGGGTGGTGGGCTCCAGCAAGAACCAAAGCATAGATGACTTCACCGACGTAAAAGCTCTGCATTCGAGAGTCGCCAAGTAAGGCTAGGATGCCGATGACTGCCAAAGGGAACCAAACCGGGGGGTCGTGGAGTCGGCGGGAATGAGTTAGCCAGAAAGGCAGAGAGATCAGAGCCTTGACAGGTATAAGCAAAAGCGAGCGTCCGGTTCTTGGCCCGCAAGCTGCAGATCGAAATAAATCACCATTGAGAGCCCGTCTCAATGTCTTGGGTCAATGTTCACGCCTTGTCGCGGTGATGAGCTTGCGTCACGGCGGAGGAACAGACGTTCCTGCTCCTCGCATCACTTGTCGCCAGCTGTACGGGTCTGCACTTCGGCTTCGGGGAACTATTACTAATCCCGAATCGAGAATGTTTTGTACCATGTCCCTCGGTGCTTTTTCTCTTGATGTTTTTCGTGGATGTGATGCCGCCTCTCAACTTCCCCAAGCCTCCTCAACTCTCAACCACAATTACACTTTCCCAACATGCATCTTCCCCTCCCTCCTATCTGCAACTTTATGCGGCGAGCCGCCAATATGAATATGGAATATCAGATGTAATATTGCGGTGGCTGTTCTCTAACTTCGATCTCAATACCTTGGTAAATGTTTCATCACATCAGTTCTACTTCGACCCTCGATGTGAGACCCTCACTCGATCGGGGGAATACCTGCATCCGCTCCGTCACCGTCCAGGTCCGGAACGCCCACCCATTCCACTGTCTGCTGTCGCCAATGTTGCTCACGTCCTCGAGGGTAATATTACCGTTCAGCAGTGTTTGTCAGCTGCTAGCAAACGGCTAACCAGCCAGTCGAAGTTTAGTCTGCCACCAGCTTCACGCAATGTCGACCTTCTAGTTTCGACTAGCAGACTAGCAGAAGATCCGTGGCGCGTCTCAGCTGGTAGGGTCTAGAACTGGCTAAATTCTCCGTGTTTACCGTATCCATGCCTCGCAGAGCTCGAATGGAGTCTCGATCCACTATAACACTCGGATGCTAGACGCCAGATGATAGGGTCGCCTGCGCCATGTGAAGGATAATTTAGGTCCGTACTGGTGAGCTTGTCCTTGCCATGATGTTACCGCTTTGGTTGCATGGTAGTTTGTGGGGCTCGGGGTGGCGGTTACGACTTACGGGTCGAGATGCCGGAGCGATTAGAGCATGTCTCAATGTCCGAGCGGCGCGATAGGGCCAGGTGCGAGAAGGTCCAATGAGACGAAAGACCCGATTACACGATACAGAGACATTTCCACCACCCTAAGTAAGTGCAAGGCTGCTTGATCCTCTCGAGATACTCCCTTGGCCTAGATAAGCCTGAGTGAGGAGTTCGGATCCTCTTTTAGCCTGGCGGAGATGTCTCTCCAAGGGCGTCAGAGCATCCATGCCTACTTCATTGAGGCGTGTGGGAGAGTCCCATACCGGTGCTTATACGAGGAAGGCCAAGACTGCGGAGACCGCAAGTCCCTCGCTAAGCCGCTTTACACCGAGCCCGTCTACCCAACAGCGGAAGAAATCAGGGTCTGCTTTTCCAGCCGTCATCTTACACCTTGACACTCCATCCCCTTCCTGCAGCCTAGTCTCCCGGATTTCCAATTCAAACTCACCCAAAGAAAAATTTCGAGGCCTGCAAATATACTTTTCTTGTCAGCTAGTGCTCACGCATTGAGTTTCTAAAGCTGTCGAGCCATGCCTCCTCACATACTTCTGTCGGGAGTCTGGACCCTCTTGAACATGTCTTATACATGCTTGAATCATGGGTTCTGCATTGGTCTGCACTAGCCAATGCGGAAAAGCAGATCACTTACAAAAAGAAACATGGGAAACGAAATGAACCTGAATCGCTGGATTCAGAATGTTCGAACATCGATGGGCCAGGGCTTTGCCTGTCTGGATGAGTCGAGCATTGCCCAGATGATGGCCAGTCTGCAATTGTACTTGCGCCCGGTGCCCGTTGGACCGAATTGACGACTTAATGCAAGCCTTCTTCTCCTCGATCCGGACTTTGGTCGACAGCCCACTTGATGACATTTGGCGCCACGGGGTAGCGAGGAATGATTAGCATGTGTGGGGGAGAAAACCATGTGTCTTCATTCAGCTCAATGTTCTATTTTCTCCCCCTTGTCTGTATGCACTTCATATCCGCTTGCGCTCATCTTCTGTTCGTGACATGCGGCCAGGGTGTTTCCATTGTTTTTCTTGGTAGAAGCATTGCTTTTCCTACAATTCCTTGCCCACAACAGACGCCCCGGAACCGGATACGTCAGAAGAGCAATCGCAAACATCCCTCGTTTAGAACTAGTTTCTTTCTTTCTTTTTTTCTCCTTTTGGCCAGCGATATCATACACCCTCCTTATAACCAACAAAGGGGTGTGATTGATGACTTTAGTGGCCTTGTCAGTGACCTCGCTACCTCATTCATTATCACGAGGCTCTGTTCGTCTGCCTGCGACTTTGGTCTTGGGGATGTCCGGTCGGACATGGCTTCTTACCACCAAGGCTTCGATCCACAATTAGATCCGCTATTTCACTCCATTATTTGCAAGTGACAACGAATGTCGAAAATCATGCATCTTCTTGTGTAGATGAGTTGGCACTTCCTCGGAAGCGCTCGACTGGATCCCCCGCGAACACACCATGCAGACAATCTGCTCATATTTCAGGTCTGCGGAGAGTTTCGCCCGGCCTCCGCCAAGTGCTGTGTCGCCTCTCAGCCGTGAATCGCTGTTCATCGCCTACAGGGTCCTGCCTAGAGAGGAGGAGGAGAAGGTGGGAGCATTCTCCAACTTTAGCTCCCAACCCACACGCTACATCGCCATTTAGACCACATATGTGCTCGGTCTCTAGCTCTTCTCTGCCGTTGGCCTCGATCGAGGTATCCTGACGCCGTAGTTGTTAAGCTGCTATTATTAGTAGAATTTGAAGCCTCTCCAATGTGGAGTCGATGCTTCTACGAGGTAGTTCAGCCTCGCTGGCATATCTGGGTCTCGATGCTGTGCAACGTCGTTCTGGGATGTTCCGTAATGGCTATCTTCCGGACTCTCCTGGGTAGTGCCGTCTCAATTAGTGTCATTGTACGAAGTAAACTTCAGAGACCCCGAGACTGTGGTACAGCGACCATTCTCCGCCAGGCTGATTTTGCAGCTGCACTCCTTTCACCACGCCCTCCCACCCATCACATTTGGAACCCCTCTTGAAGATGGCTCTGGTAGTTGTACGAGAGAAGGAGCCGGGTCCCTACATGCAAAGGATCATTATCATCTTTGACTTTCGGTCACCGATGGGGTGTATATGTGTGTGTGGCAATGCGGACTTTGTTTCCTAGACCTTTGCTACAGCAGAGTGGATCGGGGTGTGTCTTTACGAGGCAATACTCCCGTTAGATCGAAGACATGCACGCCCCTTTCTCCTTAGACGGGTCCTGGGATGATAGAACTGATGAAGGCTTGCGGATGTACCACCCCTAGGCTGGATATTTTGGCCACTAGCAAGAGGGTCAAAGTCATGCACATCGTATTGCTGGCAAAGGTCCACCGCTCCTATATCATATAAGTTCAAGCTGAGCTCCCAGAAGCTCTCCTAAGTCTTGCTTCATCCCTGGCCCCTCCAACGGAAAAAACATATCGCCCTCTCGTCTTTCCATCATGGCTGACAGGATGGCGTTTCTCCTCTTCGGAGACCAGTCGTTGGACACACATGGATTCCTCGCAGAGTTCTGTCGCGAGGGCAACCCGAGTATCTTGGCTAAGGCTTTCCTGGAGCGAGCGACTCATGCACTTAGAGAAGAAGTCGATGGCTTGACGAGGTTGCAGCAAGCCAATATTCCCTCTTTCAGAACGCTTTACCAGCTTAACGAGAAATATCACACCCAAGACCAGAAACACCCAGGGATTGATAGTGCTCTTCTTTGCATTGCCCAGTTAGCACATTATATTGAGTAAGTCCTGATCTCACTTAATATCCGCTTATGCTCCCCCCCGCCGCTTGGAACAAGACCAATGCGATCATCTGAGACATAAACGCTGATCAATTGTTCTAGCCGAGCCGAGAAAGAGCCTGAAGATTGGACTGCCGATGACCAGACCTTCTTCGTCGGTTTCTGCACCGGCCTTTTCGCCGCCTCCGCCATTGCTTCTACGCCCACCGTTTCTACATTGATACCCCTTGCTATTCAGACTGTATTGCTCGCTTTCCGAACTGGCTCATATGTCGGGGCGTTGGCCGAGACGCTCTCTCCACACTCCTCCCAACCGGAGCCTTGGACTCTGGTTTTCCCAGAAGCCGGAGAAGAAGCAGTCAGCAATGCTCTATCCGACTTCTACAAATCCAACGTAAGTTTCTGATTATACCATTCATTTTTCCCGTCATTGAGGAAGATCTAACGTGTTCTTGATTAGAATATTCCTTCTACTAGCCGTCCCTATGTCAGCGCCGTCTCATCCTCAAACGTCGCCGTTTCGGGGCCTCCAGCAACCCTCCGGGCCGTTGTCGAGAAGCGCCTCTTCGGCTCCAATCCCCTTCCAATTCCTGTCTACGGACCTTACCATGCCCAACATCTTCATTCGAGCGCCGACATTGAGAAAATGCTTCAGCTTGATTCCCCTGGACTGAGCGCAGTTCTCGAGAAAGCGAAGCCGAGATCGGCGATAATGTCATCAAACGGAACCTGGTTCAATGAGACCGACACAAAGGAACTTTTCAAAGCCGTCGTTTGGGAATGCCTCAATGAGCCACTTCGGTTCAACAGGGCATTTGAGAGTTGCGTCCAGGCTGCCACTAGCTTCAAGGGACATAGCTGTCTCGTTATTTCTTTCGGGCCAACCCAGGCTGCTGATACTCTGGCCAAATTGATCCAGAATCAGACGAAGTTGGATGTTGTCGTCCGAAAGAGCCTCAGAATCCACAAGGAGAGCATTGGCTCTTCAATTGGAAACCATGGTTCGCAACTTGGGCGGTGCCGCCTTGCCATCGTTGGCATGGCCGGAAGGTTCCCTGATGCGGCGAGCCACGAAAAACTCTGGGAGCTTCTAGCGAAGGGGCTCGATGTGCATCGAGTGGTTCCCAAGGACCGTTTTCCGATAGAGACCCACGTCGATCCGACTGGAAAGACCCTTAATGCCAGCCATACTCCTTACGGCTGCTGGATTGAAGAGCCTGGTCTCTTCGACCCTAGGTTCTTTAACATGTCACCGCGAGAGGCTTTCCAGACGGATCCCATGCAGCGCATGGCCCTAACCACAGCGTATGAGGCGCTAGAGATGTCTGGTTACGTTCCCAACAGAACCCCATCCACCCGGCTAGATAGAATCGGCACTTTCTATGGACAGACTTCGGATGATTGGCGAGAAATTAACGCCGCACAGGAGGTCGACACCTACTACATCACAGGTGGTGTCCGTGCCTTCGGACCTGGTCGGATCAATTATCATTTCGGGTTCAGCGGCCCTAGTCTCTGCATCGATACGGCCTGCTCATCAAGTGCTGCCGCGCTTCAGGTGGCTTGTACTTCTCTGTGGGCCAACGAGTGCGATACTGCCATTGTCGGCGGTCTCTCCTGCATGACAAACTCGGACATTTTCGCGGGTTTGAGCAGGGGTCAGTTCTTGTCCAAGACGGGACCTTGTGCAACCTTTGACAACGGCGCCGATGGGTATTGCCGTGCCGACGCCTGTGCTTCCGTTATTGTCAAGCGCCTAGATCATGCTCTTGCTGACAAGGACAACGTTTTGGCTGTAATTCTCGGCACCTCTACAAACCATTCTGCCGATGCTGTTTCCATCACGCATCCTCATGGGCCAACGCAGTCGATCCTTTCGACGGCCATACTGGACGAGGCTGGCGTTGATCCCCATGATGTCGACTACGTAGAGATGCATGGCACTGGTACCCAGGCGGGTGATAGTACAGAAATGGTCAGTGTCACGAACGTCTTCGCGCCAGCGAAGAGGAAGCGACCTGCGGACCGCCCTCTTTACCTCGGCAGCGTCAAAAGTAACGTGGGCCACGGTGAGGCTGCCTCTGGCGTTACAGCTGTGATCAAAGTCCTTCTTATGCTCCAGAAGAATGCCATCCCCCCGCACGTTGGCATCAAGAAGGAAATCAACAAGACCTTCCCTGCAGATCTCTCGGAGAGGAATGTGAATATTGCTTTCCACATGACCCCGTTGGTAAGGAAGGATGGCAGGCCAAGGAAGATCTTCATCAACAACTTCAGCGCGGCTGGTGGGAACACTGGCCTGTTGCTCGAGGAAGGTCCCAAATATGAGCCTGCCAGCGCGGATCCCCGAACCACCCACATCATTGCCGTGACTGGAAAGTCGAAGGCAGCAATGATTCGCAATGCCGAGAGGCTAGTGGCGTGGATGGAGAAGAACCCAGATACCCCCGTATCTCATGTCGCCTACACCACTACGGCGCGCCGCATCCAGCACTATTGGCGCATGAACGTAGCAGCATCTAACCTTGCGGAAGCTCAAGTCTTGATCAAGGACAGACTGAAGGAGAACTTCGTCCCCATCTCGACGGAGCAGCCCAAGGTTGTCTTCCTCTTCACTGGACAAGGATCCCATTATGCGGGTCTCGGAAAGGATCTATACGCCCACTTTGGTGTCTTCAGGGAGGCTATCGACGAGTTCAACCGGCTTTCTCTGCTTCACGGCTTCCCGTCTTTCCTTCCCCTCATCGATGGCAGCGAGTCTGATGTCCAGAACCCTTCCCCCGTTATTGTCCAGCTCGGTCTTTGCTGTTTTGAGATGGCGCTCGCCAGACTCTGGGCCTCATGGGGCATCAGGCCTGGCGCTGTCCTTGGCCACTCCCTTGGCGAATATGCCGCTCTCAACGTGGCCGGCGTCTTGTCTGCTAGCGATACTATCTACCTTGTCGGCGTTAGGGCCAAGCTTTTGGTCAACAAGTGTACCGCCGGTACCCATGCTATGCTTGCTATCCAGGGCCCTGTTCCCGCAATCAAGGAGGTTCTGGGAGTCCGTGGCGACACTGTCAATGTCGCATGCATTAACGGCCCTAGGGAGACCGTTCTCAGTGGCACAGCAGAGGAAGTTGCCGAGATCTCTCAGCTACTTACCAACTCCGGCTTCAAGTGCACGCAGCTCAAGGTACCCTTCGCGTTCCACTCCGCTCAGGTCGAGCCTATTCTCGATTCCTTCGAGGAGCTCTCGCAGTCCGTTGTCTTCCAGAGGCCGAAGATTGCCGTTATCTCGCCTCTCCTCGGAAAGCTCATCGAGAATGAGCCAATCAACCCTCCGTACCTGCGCAATCATGCTCGCGACGCGGTCAACTTCCTCGGCGGACTCGTTTCCGCGCAGGAAGCCGGCGTCATTGATGAGAAGACTGCTTGGCTTGAAGTTGGCCCTCACCCGGTCTGCGCCAATATGGTGAAGGCTGCCTTTGGTGCTTCCACCATTGCGGTTCCTACTCTCCGCCGGAATGAACCCACCTACAAGACACTTCATGCCAGCCTCTGCACCCTTCACAGCGCCGGCCTGAATATTGATTGGTCTGAGTATCACAAGGACTTCGACAGCTCTGTCCGCCTCCTAGATCTTCCTGCCTACTCCTTCGATGAGAAGAATTATTGGATTCAGTACACCGGTGATTGGTGCCTAACGAAGAACCGGGTTGGTACCAAGCCTGCCGCGCTATTGGAGGCACCGAAGCCCAAGATCTCTACATCAGCCGTGCACAAGGTGACCAAGGAAGAAATTAAAGGTGATGTGTGCATCATCGAGACCGAGACGAACCTTTCCCGGGACGACATTAGGCCGGCTGTAACCGGACATGTTGTCAACGGAGCACCACTCTTCCCATCAACAATCTACGCCGAGATGGGTATGACAATCTGCGACTATGCCTACAAGCTGGTACGCCCAGGGACAAAGAAGATTGGTGTCAACATATGCGATGTCGAGGTCCCCAAGACCCTGATCTTCGATGAAACTCTTGATGCTCATATTCTCCGATGCACAGCTACCTGCAACCCTGCAAAAGGTACTGCTGAGCTCGTCTTCCATACCCTGGAAAGCGGCAAGAAGACCGACCACTGCTACTGCAAGGTGTACTATGAGGACCCTGAAGAGTGGCTTTCCGAGTTCGACCGCGTCAACTACTTGATCAAGTCCCGCATCGACCATCTTACGGAGGCAGAGAAGGTAGGGAAGGCCTCCAAGATCGGCCGAGGTCTTGCTTATAAACTCTTTACCGCTCTTGTCGATTACGAGGCTCCATACAAAGGTATGGAGGAGGTCATCCTCGACAGCGACACCTGCGAAGCTACGGCGAAGGTTGTCTTCCCGACTTCAGGCAAGGAGGGTAATTGGTTCTTCAACCCATACTGGCTTGATAGTTGTTGCCACATTTCCGGTTTCATCATCAACGGAACCGATGCGGTTGACTCACGAGAGCAGGTCTACATTTCCCACGGTTGGGGTTACATGAAGATGGCAGAGAAGCTGGATGGAGCCAAGACCTACCGATCCTACATAAGGATGCAGCCCGTCAGAGGTACTAAGATGATGGCTGGTGATGCCTACATCTTCGACGGCGACCGCATCGTCGGCGTTGTGGGTCAAATTAAGTTCCAGTCTATCCCGCGCAAGGTCCTTAACATGGTCCTCCCTCCGCGTGGGAAAGCCCTTTCTGGCGCGGCTCCTGCTCCGTCCGCGAAGAAGCCTACTGCTGCAGCTTCTATGCGACCCGCAGCCCCGGCAAAGGCACAACAGGTTACCCCCGCGAACATTAGCACCGTCAACGCTAAATTGGCCGGGTCCGTCGTCACCGCCGTCCTGGATATCCTAGCAAAGGAGATTGGTGTCACCGAGGATGAATTGGCCGACAACATTGCCTTCACTGACTTCGGAGTCGACTCACTCATGTCGCTGACTGTCAGTGGGCGACTGAGGGAGGAGCTTGAGCTTGACATAGACTCCAACGCCTTTGTTGACCACTCCACTATTGGCGCGTTTAAGAAATATCTTGCCCAGTTTGAGACGTCGCAAAGGAAGGAGAGCATAAGCTCCGACGGCTCAGGCGACTCCACTTCTACTCGCTCTGATGCGGAGACCCCGGAGATGGAGTCTGAGTCGGACATCACCACTCCTCTTGAATATAGTGACAATGGTTCTATCAAGGGAGGTGACGCCTCCAGTGATATTCAGGAGATCGTGAGAGGCACAATCTGTGAAGAAATGGGTGTCGAGGTAGATGAAATCATCGCCGCTCCTGATCTGGCAGCTCTTGGAATGGACTCATTGATGAGCTTGTCGATTCTTGGCACTCTCCGCGAAAAGACGGGACTTGATATCCCATCCGACCTTTTCACCGCCAACCCTTCGCTCCTTGCGGTGGAGAAGGCCCTCGGAATTGGGCCCCGGCCTAAGCCCGCCCCAGCAGCTGCAAAGCCTGCAAAGGTGGTCGAGCCCCGGCCCCCAAGAGTCATCAACACGCATCCTGGCAACACCACGGCCACCATTGTCAAGCCGCCCCGCCCAGCCACCTTTGTAGATAACTACCCGCACCGTAAGGCTACGAGTGTGCTCCTCCAGGGGAATATTCGCAGTGCCACCAAGAACCTCTTCATGGTCCCCGATGGCAGCGGCTGCGCCACCAGCTATACCGAAATCGGCGCTATTTCGCCAGACTGGGCGGTCTGGGGCTTATTCTCGCCTTTCATGAAGACTCCTGAGGAATTCAACTGCGGCGTCTACGGCATGGCCCAGAAGTTCATTACGGAGATCAAACGCCGACAGCCAACTGGACCTTACTCTCTCGCCGGTTGGTCTGCCGGCGGCGTCATCGCCTTCGAGATGGTCAACCAGCTCGTCAAGGCCGGAGATGCCGTCGACCACCTCATCATTATCGACGCTCCCTGCCCCGTCACCATCGAGCCCCTCCCTCGCAGCCTGCATGCCTGGTTCGCCAGCATCGGCCTCCTTGGTGACGGAGACTCGACCAAGATCCCCTCTTGGCTCCTCCCCCACTTCGCTGCTAGTGTCACGGCTCTTAGCAACTACACGGCGGAGCCTATCCCCGACGATAAGTGTCCTCGAGTCACTGCCATCTGGTGTGAGGATGGCGTTTGCAAGCTACCTACCGATCCTCGCCCCGACCCGTACCCCACTGGACACGCTCTGTTCCTTCTAGATAACAGGACGGACTTTGGCCCCAATAGGTGGGATGAGTATCTCGACTACAACAAGATTCGTACGATGCACATGCCTGGAAACCACTTTTCCATGATGCACGGTGACCTGGTAAGTTTTATCTGCTCCTTGATTCATGAAATATACATGGGGACTAACAAGTATTTTCAATAGGCGAAGAAACTCGGTGATTTCATCAGAGCCGCCGTCACCGAAGCTTGATCAACCAGTATTCTGGCCTCCCCTTTTTGATCATCTGTACATGAAGAAATACTAGGTCCCTTGCCCCTTTGCATTCATTTGAGGGACGGGACACATGTAAGAAATTGAGTTATTGCCCAGGTCACTTTTGTGTTTTTCACTTTCTTATTTCCTTTCGGTTTTCCTGCTCTCTGGTTTTTCTACTTCGCTACACTCATTTAATCACTTTAACCTTTTGGTACTCATTCGGGTCGTCGAGACACGACCTTCGGTGTTGCACCTCCCTTCTTCGATTTATCGATTTTCGGTCTGGGTTACAGTATTCAAGTCTTAGTCTTTTGGCTCGCTTGGAGGGCTTGGCGTTATGGGATATATAAGAACCGTTTTGTTTCGTCTTTGCTATCTTCTAGTAGTATTTAGCCTTTCCTTACACGTTTCACTGCAATTCATTCTTAGTTAATGGTTTCTTTAAATGGGCTTATAGAAGTTTCTTCTGATCTACGCCGAAACTTCAAGTGCTGGTGAGAAGTTCAGGTTCAGGTTCAGGTTCAGGTTCATTCCTTACATTCTTTCAGATACGCTCCTTCATCTATCACAGAGCATAATAGCCCAATACAGTATCTCGTTAAAATTGAAAAGTAGTACCCCTTTCAAAAACAGACTCCAGTCTTCAAACTCCTAACATCCCTTCCCGGTATTCTTTCCCGAGGACCCACGAGTAGGGGTTCCTGCATAAGGGGCGGGTTGCGAATATCGTATTCCAAAATGGCCTATGCAGGACAGTTCGTAACTCGCTCTCCTGGGAGGTAGAGACTTTCACTCGCCATACCTACATGCCTACATACCGCGGCACTGTCACTCCCCAGTCGTCCTAGTTAACCTGGTCGGGTTATTTTATGCATGGGCCACACTTTCCCGCCACCCGTTGACAGTTCTCCCCGCTCCGAAGTGCCGAAACGTGGATGGGCGGGCTGTGCCAGCTCGAAGTGTGTGCGTTGCGCGTGCGTCTCTCTCTCCGTAAGCGTCCTCGCTTCAGCAGTAAGCTCGAGTCTGCCCGCACTCTATTTACAAACACTCGGTACCGAGACTGTTAAACTAATTGTCGGTTGGGAGAATTGAATCTCTATAGTCTCGGGAAGGGTTGACTGGCCCAAACGCACCCTCCTACTGGAGGACGGCTCGACATGGATATCTTCACCTCACCTTGCTTGTTTCAGAAGAGGAGAAGGCGTTACTACTTTCGATATTGTTGGTATTATTCCGCGTTGGTCTGAACGTTGACAAATTCTGCATAGGAACAATGACGATCAAATGCAAGGATCCGGGGAGGAAGAACTGTCTGGCCATACGATGATGCCAGGACTCCGGTTACGATGTCGTGCATGATACCTAAACTGGCGAAAACTTACGAGCGGTTGTAACTTGCATATCTTGCGGGAGGCAGGGGACAGGAGGATAGGCGCCTCACTCGTACGGTTATAATGATCAACAATTATCCGAAATTCTCACCACGAACAGTTTTTCGTCTCGATTAGAGAAGGATTTCCACCTCGCTTCGGGAGATATCATCGCGGTGGTCGATCCTGTGTCAAAGGGCAGAGATAAATGCTAGAGAACTCTTATTCTCCTCAACACACTTGCTAATAAGGAAGCAATTCTGCCGAGTCTCACTTGTTCAGGAGGAATATGGAGTCGGGCTCGGCTCGATAAAGGAGGGCAAATTCCATGCTTAGATCCAAATTGCTTTCGTCGTACAAACATCGTGTTGATATAACGAGAGGGCGGGAGGAGATGGACGCGTTCACCGAGCCAGAAAGTTGCTTTAAGCACCGCAACATCTCAATTCCGTTCACCGCATATGATGCCTCCTGCCCGTGCTAGGTAGTGAGGTGTAAAAAAGCACGGGTAGAGTACAGTGAGCGGCTGTTGGGCGAGGGTACGACAATATTCCTGCCTCAAAAGGAAGCCGAGACTCGAAAGCAAGGTCATCGTATGGAAGCTTTGACGGGTCCAACTCTCTAATCTCAAGTACGCAGCAATGCCAAGCTGATCATCCCAGCTGAAGATTTAACGCCATCATTCGTCGATACAGATCGGTGGTTTGTGTCTTTGGTATGCAGGGAAACCGCGACTGAACCAAAGTGAAAAGGAGAAGGCGCTAAAGTCGGCAGCGCACAGCTGATCACAGAGCATATCGAGTCCGGGGAAGCAGCGACGGAACTTTGCTATCACTCAAGCCACCCATGTTTGTTTACCCTAGTGGCAGGAGCAAACCGATACTGTTCTGCGTCACTTCCCCGGAAAATAGCATTTCAGCATGTGGGTGAGATGTTCCCTTCAATCCATTATCACATCCGGCGTCGTCAACGTGGTTTACATATTCCCATTCAATGCTGCCTCCGCGGGACATAACCGAGCTCTATAAATCTTGGGGAAACAGAAGAAGAAGAAGAAAAGACCTTAAGCTTACCGAATCGAGTTAAAAGCGAAAGCACATCCAGTCTTTAATCTCAACATCTCCTCAGAATACTCTACAATTCCACGGGTTCCTTTTCCAGGCAGGCCATTCCATCTATCTACAAGTCCGAAGTATTCATGGCATGGATGCATCTTCGGTCAAGCTGTCAGTGTCGACTTCCCCACAACCATTGACACATGGAAATGGTACAATTGTAATACAAGGTCTCCAATGGCGGTTTACCCGTCAAGATCGGCGACTGAAATTGGTTGGGTCCTTCCCGCCAATTCACTTGGTGACCTCAGGGCCAGGCAATGGACCAGGACATCAATTGATCATTGATGCCGGGGTACCTCAATTTAGCCAGCACGCAGAAATCGGATGACCAAAGTTCATTGAGAGATACTGAGGTACACGAATTTGTCCTTGGTTTCAAGAGAGGAAAGCGGCTCCCACAATTGGTCGACGACTTCTACGTTGATCGCCAACCAAGTCGCCGCAAGAAAAATGCCCTCCTCTCCGGGCCTGAGCTCCTTGAAGCACTGGACTGGAGCATATCCCATTTGACCAGCCTCCGTTCCCGCAGGCCAGCTGCAGCAAGCCGGAGAGAGCCATAGCCGACACGCCTGTCCTTATTAGTCTATAAACCCGGATCTTCGTTGCGTAGATGCGACTTCTCCCGTCTTAGCCTGCCCTGGCAGTGTTTTGGCTGCTCAGGCTTGGCTGCGAGGTAGGTCACGGTAGCGACCCTTCTCAACTTATAACTCTACCCACCTTCTCCATTGGGGAAACGATGACGGGACACGGCTGGGTCCGGCTCTCTCGTACAATTGTGCCGTGATGGCCTGAAGGGGGACTCGTTCCCTCCTGGAATTGGGATTGATTTCAGACGATAGGTTCGAAGAGAAAAGAAAAGAATAGGGAACGGATCCACGGTGAGAAAAGGAAGAAGAACGAAAACGAGAACAAAGTAAGGTGGCTTCAACGGGCTCGCTCGAATACAGGTGGTCTCTTTACCCGGTTGACAAGCCACGATGAGCTGGCTACCTTCACTTCCTTGCTATGTTCTCTCCTCGAGACCAGATGGGCTCCCCTTCTCTCTATCGTCCCATATCACAACAAGACTCGGCATGAAGGGAACCTTTGTGATTTCGGATCTTGCCAGCTTCGAATCAGGTCTGAGATGCGTGTTTCCACCATGCTTCATACTCTCGGAAGCTCCAAAGACATGGCCGAATGGCTCGCTTGACTCCTCTCCATCTTCCCTCACTGCTTTTTCAGTTTATTTTCGGAACCACATTTTTCCATCGTCTTCAAGTCTTTGATTTCTTCCTCTCGCTGTTGCTCCCACCCAATCCCGTGCCGGTCTCATTCATTTAGTCTTATTACATTTTGCCTCATTAATCCCACCTACCAGTCCCGTATTGGAGATGTACATCCCGACGTCTATCTTCGCTTGCTTCTTAGATGCATAGAGGTCTTCATTTCGTCCAACCAGCTGCACGCCTACTGCACAGCTAGCCCTTACCCTCCTTCCATTGACTCTCTTTAGCCCTTCCTTCCCCCCCAGGCCCCTTATAAGCTCGGTATACCTCGACCTTCCTTGCACTCCTCTTATAAATCCTTCTGGAGAGAGTGGTGGTAGCCTCCAGGGGACATCTAATTCAACTCGCCCTTGCTTTTTCCGCCACCCAACTCGAGCAACGACCTCTTCCCCAATTTTCGACATATATCCCCTACATACTACTTTCTTTTCTCCTAGCCCTCTCACCTCTGCCTCAATTGCGGAATTCAGACGCCCGGTCATTATGGCTTCGAGTGCAAAACCACGTCAACCACGTCTCCGCGCATCTTGTGATGGATGCTTCATCGCCAAGGTGAAATGCTCCAAAGCACGTCCCATCTGCTCCAGATGTCTAGCGTGCGGGCTAGAGTGTCGATATTCACCTTCCAGTCGCTCTGGAAAGCCAAAATCCGATGGCATGCTCACGGGCCCCCATGGAAGCCCATCACACCAACACATGGGTCCCTTGAATGGAATCCAGGACGACAAGCAGATAGCGTATCAGAATCACGCAGCACAATTAGGACTTTACAAACTCGAGACCGGATGGCATACCCCTCCTAACTTGGATGGTTCTTTGAACCCTAACCCTTCAATGAACCCCGGGCTGGGTGTTCTTGGCTCCAATCAGCACAACCCTAATGTTGGGATGGACATATATGGCGTCGGCGCTGGACCCTGGGTCTCTTCCGCCGAAATCCAAGGTACAGCCTTTGCGGACATGTCAATGGCAGCCACTCAACTTCAGCCTGGTCATGGTCGGTCAGCTTCCATGGATGCGGGGATGCAAATGCCTTTGGTTTCTCCCTGGATGGGTGCAGTGGCAGCAGGAACTCCAACAAACCACGAAATGATGGCCTATGATACACCCACTGCTCTACCAACCCCGGCGAGCATGGCTTCAAACTACTTCCCGAGTCCTTCCGTCACGCCAAACGTTCCACATCGACATCGACCAGCATCTGTTGGCGCAGGAGCTGCGGGAGGTCCAACAAACGC